TAAAAAGTTAGTACTTATATTATAGCTTTGTCTATCATAAAGTTGTGTACCAATATGAGTTTATCTCATAGTCTTCGCTTTAATTTAGACTAAGTGTTAATCATGATGCATAATTATCCTCTTCAAGGCATACTCAGAGCTATTAACTAAATATGTTTGTGAACTTATTATTGTACAATTGGATTTGAGTAGTCATTTAGTTTGTGCTTGTCCATGTTTCTATGTTCAATACTTAAAGTATTACATTCATGTTAAACAAGTATATAACTCGATGACATGAGTTTAGTGTTGGGTCTTGTGAAGGCAAGTTAAAGAGTGATTGTTGATTGCTTTGCAACTAGTGATTATTTATAAATTTTGTTGAGGACTGTTGACACTTGTCTAGCTCGATGAAAATTTATTATAGATTGTTTCAAGTGTAAAAATATTGAAAAAGCTTGTGTAATTCAAAGTCATATAATTTCCTCCAAAGATGCTATAGCAAAGGTATCCACAATGCTCTCTCCATTGGTAATAAATGTTGTTGAATCATTAAATGGTGTTGTTGTTGTTGTGATATATATGTTTTTATTTATTTATTTACTAAAAAGCCTATTTTGTTTTGACAAGTAGCTTCTAACAATTTCATTCTATTCAGTCAGAAGCTTCTTAATCTTCTACATCCTACTACTTCTTAAATCATCCAATTTTAACTAGTGTGGGTAGTTTTAGCAAGAATGAAACAAACTTACGAGAATTTTAGAAGGAAAATCAGGAATATGAGAAGATAGATATTGAATTTTATGTTACTTATTGTTATGTTATATAAGTTTTGACTTTTTGAATTCTTAAAACTTACAAGATCTTAATGTTCCAAAGTTTTTTCTTGTGTTCCTCGAAAAAGAATTTATCAATAACTTGTTTTTTTCAACTAGATTTAGAAATAAATTGCACATTAGTTTTTATATGGCATTTGTTTGGTTTAATGCCATCAAACTTTGTTACAACATGCCATATTAAATGCATCTATATAGTGCACTTGATATAGTATTAGATAAGTTAAAGTTTTTTCTCAAAGTCTTTGATTCACATTTACCTTTGTTGGCATTAAAATGGATAAAAAAAAACTTTTAACACCCTTCTAGAATATTTTATGAACTTCTTGTTGTCGAAGGTATATTTTTATTTGAAATAATTCATTGGAATTTTTTTGCTTTTTAAAGCTAGAGCAATTGAATCATCACCTTATGGTTTTACTCTCCATCCTAAATCCTACTGAAAATGCATGGATCAAGGAAGTGTATAAGTATTTTCCAGGTATAAATAATTTCTCCTCTGTAAAACAAGAAAAATAATTTTTCTTTTTTCAGATCAAGAATTCAAGTTCAAAAGGAGGTGGCAGAGTTGAGAAAGAAAAGAAAGATTGTGAACATTATTGTTGGACTTAGAACTATAAAAATTGCAATCACATTCATTATCACTTTGGGGAAGGTAAATTTGAATATTTATAAACAAATGTTTGATACTTTTTAGAAAGTGGTAACATTTTACATGAAGTGATATTGAGATGCCATTCCAATGATAAGCATCCAGAACTTCAAACAAGGCTTTTGATGAGAGGACAAAGGAAGAACTAACCAAGAAAAATGGCTAGAGGTATTTGGAAACAAATCAAGAGATTATAAAACAATTTCTCTTAAGTCATCTTTGTATTTGAACCAAAACACTGAAAATGTGATGCAAGAAAAATTAATAACTGTGATTGAGAATGCTACTTGAGCACAGCTCCCAAGCTACACATCAAAGAACTCAATCCACCTCAGCCCGTCCCTCTCAGCATCCACTGATCTTGAGGTGGGATGTGGAGAAGAGGACAGTCAAGTTTACATCTAATGCATCGAGGTAGGTTGATCTTAAACTTTCCAGGTGCTTCCCTGCTTTAGTGTGATGCCAAGCACCACATTGGTAAAATCCTCACGAACACCTTTATGTTCTTCAACTTGAGTATGAGCAAACCACCTGGTATGATCAGTTTCTCCCAGTTTCTTCCATAAAAGACAAAGACAGCAACGTCAGGTTCCCTACAGTGAGATTGAAGAACTTTTAACTTACATCTACTTTGTCAGTAATGCCAGGAATGGCCATATTTCACGTCCAGATTGCTGAAGCTACCACTTTCATTATAAGTGTGAGGGGAAGTCTTGTACCTGGGTTTCTGTTAGTTGGCACAGAACCAGCATGTGGTCTTGGATGTAAACCAAGAATGAGGCCTTCTTCTTTATCTCAGAGGTCATCAAAGTGACCTACCAGGTTTGTCTTAGATAACTCCCATGTAACATGATTTCCAGATGCTTCTACTTATCCTTCATAAAGGCATGTTCTGATGTGGACTTCTTTCAACCTGTAACATGACAAATGCAACAGGTATGGCTGCCAAACTAGACTGGCTCTCAGACTAATTTGAATTGTGTTTGCAGTCATCTCCTGGAATATCTAGAGCATGTTCGACTATCTGGTAAGAGCCCATTTGTTGTCACTCACATGAAAGTTGCTTTCTTACAATGCTCCATAACAGAGTTTGCAACACTAAACATGGTGTTGCAAGTTGCATAATAACTTTTACAACACCAAATGATAAAGAAATAGTTGCAACATCAAATGCCTTTGCACAAATATGTATGATATTTGCTGTATAAATTAATGTATCAAATTCTAATTTGCAACAGTAAAAATAAGAAAATCAATATTGAAAACTCTTCCGGAACTTCATATAAATAACCTTGTTGGCAATGTTTTGGTAGAGCATAAATATTTGATGGATTATTCAGCATAAAAGACTTCATTCCATTCTTGTCATCACGAACAGTTGCTGCCATTGGACAAAAAATAAAACGTTGCTAAACAAACCAAAATCGATTTCCTTATGGATACTTTAGGGATAAAGATCATGACTTGCTGTTTCAAATGAGCGTTTGGTTCTGGGTCACCACCATGGAGAAGAGCAACGTGCCAAACCACATCTCACAAACAACTTTGTTTCCTCGACTTGAGCCTGGGAGCAAAGGTCCTATGGCTTTGACCCCCTGGTTTGCGACCACTTTCTCGAGCAAAAGCCGCATGGGAGGAACCTGTTCCATGACAGAAACGTCAAGTCCGCTACAGTGAGATCGAAGAACTTTGTCAGTGCTGGGAATCGCCATACTCCACTTTGAAAGCTATCACTTTCACAAGAGTGGTACCTGTAAGTCAGTGTCCTATACAGAAAAGTTAGGACGGATTACAATTCCAAATCCCCAGGACCAGCAGACATTGTCTTGGATGTAAACCAGGACCGTGACTGCAACGAGATGAATTCCCCAGAAGCACAACTTGAAGAACGAGGCCTTCTTCTTTATCTCAGAGGAATCGTGCTCATCTGACAATCTCTTCCTCGATAAAGTTTACTTTGCAAACCAGCTTCTCGCAATGAAACCTGCTTTAATCAGTCCCTCTACCTAGAAGTGTGTGAAGATTGAAGAAAGGTGGCACTTTTCTCCGGCAAAGACGAACAATAGCTTGGACGTCCCTTGATTCCTTCCTTCCCTTGATTTTCTCCAGTGTGATCCTGCTCAACTCTAGCCTCTATAACAGTTAACTTTCCTGACAATGTTTGATACCATCTAGTGTACCGAAGGCGGCAGTGGCCGCTGTAAACTTTCCTCTAGAGTCCACTTTTAAACGTATTGGGAATACCGAGAACCTATGCGTTTCTTGTCTGCTTTGACATCGAAGGCCTCTTCATGAACTGAAGCAGATTGCAACTCCATCCCTGCAAACAGCAAGCTTCATGATCAAATGAAGCATTTGATATTTTTTTCTCTCACCTTCCAAAGTTCGTTGTCAGCAAGCCGTCTCGAGTGAGAATTCGGGCTTTTGTAGTCAGCACTTTTCCAGTAAAGCTTTCTTCTAATTACCATCATTTCCCAAGTTGAACATGAGATAGGAGGAAGTGAAGGCAAGTTAGCATCTTAGTCGTTGACATCCTGCTTCCCTGTTCAACTTTAGCACTACCTCCGGACTTTCATTTATTCCTGGTTTCGAACGTGATTTCCAGACGCTTCTGAATTTCCGCACTTATCTGCAAAACATTCCGTTACAACCTCAATCGATGCCAGTCTAGTTCGGTGGACCTGTGTAATTAGCAGTCTCGTGTAATAGCTCGAGTGTCTCCTTTTTCAACGATCTGTCAGTGCGATGAAAAACAAAGGTAAGGTTCTACTATCGAGATCAGCTATGGCATTGGTAAGAGCCGAATCAAGGGAATTGACAACTTCTGTTATCTGCGTCAGGGCCATCAAGGTACAGGGACAATCTGTAATTGAATCTATCCCATATGCATGGGAGGGCCGCCATGGGATATAATGTCAAGCTAGTTTGCACTGTTCAGAGATCATACCAATTGTAACCTGTCCCAAAACAGAAGTTATGCTATTAACTTCTTCTGCTGCCTTTGAGTGCAAAAATGAAGATCGCGTGCAAACAAGTGCGCGAGAACTTACATGACAGCTAGTATCCTCAGCAATTGTCGAAATGTCGGTTATTAGAAAGAGTTCAAGGGAATCGTGAGCAGCCAGCCATTGCTGTGGATGATCTTGGGTCAAAACGTACAGCAGCAATTGAGAGAGGAATTCCTTCAGTAGCGCCTCATCCGACGGCCACAACTATGATTTCTCTCAAGTTGCGTGAAAAGGTTAGGTCGCAGACATGGACGCTTGGCCGAACAATTCGGACAAGAGACAGGAATCAGATATGCTAGTTTCCTCGTATTTCCAGGCTTTGTATGCTCCTCACGCAATGACGTATGTGACAAGACAAAACTGTTCCCGTCTAGCTTTAGATTGGTGGACCATCAAATGCCGTGCTAGTAAATACAACACGAGGTTCTAATGCCGATGCTTCTCTCACGGATGCGCAAAAGGCAGCGCACCGGCAGATGAGTAGCGATGGACCGCAGTCAATGCAAGCTGATGACTAGAAGTCCATTGGCTGAATACGAATCTTTGATTTAGATTAACGAATGTTTCTTCTTAAACTCTAGAGGAAGGTGGCAGCAACACTTCATTGTCTTTGTACTTGAACCAGATCGCCAGTGGCACGAAAACTCCAATGTTGGCAACGTTGAGCGCCGCAAGCAGCCAGTAGAAGAAGTTTAGATGCCCCTGGTTGAGGTTGTGCTGGATCCAAGGATGCGAGGGACCTGTGACGCGGTTGACAACCGTGATGAGAATGCTGCTCAAGAAGCTCCCGCCCGCGAGGGTGGTCAGCTGGAGCGCGGCCCCCAAGCTACGCATCGCTGCCGGAGCTTGATCGTAGAAAAACTCGATCTGGCCGCTGTAAGTGAACACCTCCGCCAGTCCCAGGAGAATGTACTGCGGTAGAAGCCAGAAGATCGTCATTGGCAGCGGCTTGCTGTGTGGAAACTCCCTCGCGACTTTGAGCCTCTTCGTCTCGACCAGACCCCCCGCCAGCATCGAGGCCACCGTGATGAACATCCCGATTCCCATCCGCTGGAGCATGGTGATGCCTCTCGGGTGCCCCGTGATCTTCCGGACCGACGGGACGAAGAGGCGATCGTAGAGCGGCATGGAGAAGAGGACAGTCAGGTTTGTGAAGAGCAGCATCGAGGCTGGCGGGATCTTAAACTTGCCGTGGATGCTGTTCTCCAGGGTGCTCCCTTGCTTGACGAAGAGCGTTGGGTTCTGAGCCACCGCCGTGGAGAAGAGCAGCGTGCCAAACCACATTGGTAGAATCCTCATGAACACCTTTGTTTCCTCGACTTGAGCCTGGGAGCAAAGGTCCCATGGCTTTTTGGCATCGCCTGGCTTGCGACCACTTTCTCGAGCAAAAGCCGCCCGGTCGAGGAACCTGTTCCATGATAAACAAAGACAGCAACGTCAAGTCCGCTACAGTAAGATCGAAGAACTTTAGCTTACGCTATCGGCTTTGTTGCTTTGTCAGTGCTGGCGGGAATCGCCATATGCCACTTCGAGATTGCCGAGGCTATCACTTTCACTATAGTTGTGAGGGGACTACCGTGCGGCTTCTGATACCTGTAATTCGGTGTCCCATACAGCAAAGTTAGGACAGATATGACCATGAGTACCGTCGGAATTCCAAATCCCCAGGACCAGCCGACGTTGTCTTGGATGTAAACCAGGACCGTGACTGCAACGAGCTGGCCGGCGTGAATTCCCCAGAACCACCAGTTGAAGAACGAGGCCTTCTTCTTTATCTCGGAGGAATCTTTCTCATCAAACTGGTCCGCTCCAAACGACGAAACGCACGGCTTCATGCAACCCGAGCCAACCGCAACCAGGTAGAGGGCAACGAAGAAGAATGCGCGCTGCTGCTTGGAGGCTGGATTGCAGGTTTCATTCCGAGACGCTGGTTGGCAAGGTAATGGGCGAAGGGACTTTAGCGAGGAAGAGACCGTGAGTAGAATCAGGCCCTGCGGGAAAAAATACATAAGCAATCGTCTGAAGAATGCAGAGAAAGTGAAACAAATCTGCTTACCAAAATGTACAGTCCAGCCATGGTGAGAATAGTCCGATAGCGCCCCCAGAATGCGTCTGCTAGAAATGCTCCCAAGAGAGTCACCATGTAGATGGTCCCAACCCAGTTGTTGATGTTGGTAGCCGCTTCAGCCGTGTTTTCGTGAAGAACACTAGTCATGTAAGTCACCAGGTTCGCCAGGATTGCAAAGAAGGCTATCCTGTCGAATATTTCATTGGCTGCAAGAAAAAACTCAAGTAAGCTAAGTGAAGCTTTCAAAGGTATTGGGAATACCAAGAACGTAGCAACACCCCTTCCATCCACCGGTGCTTTTCTTGTCGGCAAGTCGTCCCTTGAAATCGAAGGCCTCGTCGTGAACTGAAGCAGATTGCAATTCCATGTGTGTCGTCCCTGCAAACAGCAAGCTTCATGATTCAAATGAAACATTTCATAGTTTGAAGTCTCACCTCCTCCAAAGTTTGTTACCAACAGCTTCGAGTGGAAATTTGGTGTGCATGTCCACGGGCTTTTGTAGTCAGCACTTTCCAGTAAAGGAGGTTGTCCAGTCGTTTTTGAAGTCCTTCTCTTCGTTTCTGTCTTCAATCTTGCGTACGAGGCAGATAACTCATCGAAGGGTCGAAATCTGTGGCGGATAACGATATATTCCAGGTTCCTTGATCTTTTTTAAAGTTTGTGGCGTCCTGCTAGGCAGTATGAGCTTTTGTTTAAATCTTCTGATTCCCCTGCATCATTCTCCAAGTTGAAGAGGAGGTGGGCGGAAGTGGAGGAATCTAACTCATGCACTTCTACCACAGAGTCCCTCTCTTACTTCATCTGATGAAGTTATCTTACCAACACCTTAGTCGTCGTCATCTTGGAACCTGTGCGTCCCATGTTTACTTTTAGCACTGGGAACCACATTCTATTTTTTCATCTTTTGTGACTGTACCCACTGGTAAAGACAATGATGGTGGATTTCGCATTGTGGCCTGAAAGCAAACACGTGCTTTCGTTAGAAAACTCCCACATGATTGTCATCCATACCTCCAACATGAGCGCTTCTAAATCTCCGCAATTATCCGCAGAAACATTTTTAAAGGTCGTACTTAGCATGAAGCATCATGTTCCGGACTTGCCTGGACGTGTTACACCCTCGATTAATGCCAGTCTGAGTGCCAGTGTGCTTTGGCAGCCACACCTGTTGCATTCGCGATGCGTGAGCATCGTTTTACAGAAAAGAAATGTTTGAAAATGAAACTAATAAGGACCTGTGTTTGCAGCGATCTCCTGTAATAGCTAGAGCATGTCTGTGCACTGGTTGTCTCCTTATTCAACGACCTGACAGTATAATGAAAAACAATGGTAAGTTTCCACTATCGAAGTCCAACCATTACCTGGTCAGAGCCGAATCCAACGAATTGACAACATCTGTTGTTGTCTGCGTCGAGAACTCACATGAAAGTGGCTTACTTAGTATGCTCAGCAACTGTCGAAATGCTGGTTATTACAAAGAGACGACAAACACCAAAAGAAAGGACCCAAACCTTGGAAATATTCAGGACAGAAAAAGGAGCCTCGTTTTCCAGCGCCAAAATGTGGACCAGCTGAGACATCTTGCGAACAGCATTCGTCACGGCTTCAAGATATAACGACGGCCCAGCGATGAACCTGTGACCACCCGCGCGTCAGCACAAAAGAGTAGACGATACTAAAGAACCTTGACGAACTCCATGCAAAGACAGACACAAAATGAGCTTGTAGATGCATTTGACTAGCGAGTTGACGACGAACCTAGCTATAGCATCCACTTCTCTGCAGAATCAAGCACCGGTAAAAGAGATTACTGGTTTAACGCTTCCTCGCTAGAAAATGCATAAAGCTTTCCCTCGACATGCACGAGTCCTATGTCAGGATCTCCGTGAAGAAGGAGGCCTCTGTGCTTGGCTAATGCAACCGGACAATAGCCAGAAAGCTGCAAGGCTCCCCCACCTTGCAATGCATTCTCCACATCCTCGTCTCTCAAAATACCGCATCTTAAATCTTGTTGTGTGCCCGCTTTGCTTAAGCTTTGCATGCAAGAAACAGAAAATCAGTTTCAAACAAAGCCAACCACACAGGACTTACATCACGTCGTTCTCGTGCCAGTCGACTGTGTAGACTTCGGGAGGCAGAAAAGTGGTGTAGTTCACAAGGGTGTTCAGTTTTGACAAACCCGTCGAAGAGCATATGTTTGCTATGCCAGATGGCGTGGGCGTGAAGAGAGGCTGAGAAGCTAGTGAAAGTAACGGAATGGAGGCCCTGGCATACGCTCGAAGAACTCTTAGCTCCTCACCAACAGACTTGACTATTGTTCCTACAGCTTGGAATTGGGGGTACACCTGCGATGAATACTTCATAAGTTAGGACATGAAGGAGAAGAAAAATAAAAGCAGAAAACAACAGACCAGTTCATTCGCGATACAGCTCCTGCATTCGATGGTTTCATACAAGTTTCTGAGGTGCTCGCAACACTTGTCATCATACTCCCTGACGATACCAAATCTCTCCGTGAGAACATTTTGGAGGCCTTCCAGCAGCGCAAATGCTTGCAAGTAATAAGCAAGCTCGTCCCGTAGTCTCTGAAGCAAGACGTGACGCATTCCAAGTGGCTCGAGGTGCAGTCTGATTGCCTCCGCACACCTCTGAGCTTTCTCGTTGGTCTTTTGCAGACAATCCATCAGCGTTTCACCCAAACTCTTCATCTCATCCCTGTAGTGTCCAAACGGAAGCTCAAATCCTTCACCACCTCTGCCCAGCGACCTTCACACAAGTTCCCAGTTTCTTGAGATGAGCTTTGGAGCCAAGGAAACTATCCACCATGCAACGTACTTGTTGAACACACGAATGCCTGTTACCGCGGCAGCCATCTCTTCAACTTGTATTGCTTTCTCGGCTTTTGGATGATCAATCCAAGAGATGCACGTCGCCTGTGGAAAGATACTCTCGAGAGCCGCTCGAATCTCGGTTATACTGGCAACTGTCATCTTCTCCTCGACTTCCTTGCTAAAGTGAAGGACGTATCTCAGCATCCGCGAATGTAAATCCTCCACGATCTGGAATGTTCTTTGCAAGTCGTTTATCTGAATGGACGTCCAAATTGAGAAACTTGTTGGGAACGCTATGAATACGTTGGACCTGAACTTCCGCGACGGATTTCGCCATGTCCTTGAGCACTGCCTTCCTCCGGTCAGCATCCATTTTCAATCCCTTCAACTCCAGATCCGTGGCGGCTTGTGCAGAAATCTGATCGCTACAGAAAAGGTATTTCAAAACCAAGGTCATAATTGCTTCGAATGTACCTGAAGTCTAATTGTCTCTTGAGCAGGACAATCCTCTCGCAAAAGCCTCTGAACACAGCCGTCCAGAAAATCTTTTGAAGAGTCTTCCGCAACTCCAGGGCTGCAAACGCAGACAGAGATCATGTAAAACTGGTAAAACTGGTAGCACAGAAAAACTTTTAAGTTACCTGGACATCTCTGGATTAAGCAAAGAGCCCGCTCGAAGTTGAAAATAAGCCATAGCGTCGAAGAAAGGCGGCACTTCTTTTGCCAGTCTCACACTTTTCTCCCGACAAAGACGAACAATAGCTTGGACGTTGCTTGATTCCTTCCTGTATCTTTCTTCCTCTCCAGCGTGACCCCGCTCATCTCTAGCCTCTATAACTTTCCTGACAATATTGGATACCATGTAGTGTACCAAAGGCGCTGTGGCTGCTGTAAGCTCCTCGTCGCACCCCTCTAGAGCCAACTTATCGAAACTAGAAGTAAGAACCTCATGTTTCAAGTGATCGTGATCGTGATCGTGATTAGCATCTTCGTTTCCTGCCACCACTTCCTCAAAAACTTTCGAAACCATGCTATGAACTTCACCGCCAGCCTCTACTGCTCGCAAGATCTCCGCCAAATCCCTTCCATCGCCCTCCATCTCTCCCAAAATTCTGGATCCCATCACTTGGACCTCTTTGGCAGCCACTATCCTCTCCAAAATCCCCGACAACATGGAATGAACCAATTCCTCCATGGCCGATTTCTGCGGCCCATTCGCAACAAAGAAATGCACGGCACCAGTATCGACATCCACCGCGACGCTGTCGCTATGCACAACGCGCTGGAACACCGCCGCGACCATGGCGCGCACGGCCTCCTCCCCATCAAACACACCTCGATCCGCAAGGCGCTCGTAAACCCTAGAATCGCCAGCGGCCACCACATCCCCGGCAGCTCTCATCACTCCCTGGATCACCCGCGCTATCATCTGCCGCACTGCCTCCAGCTGCTCGCGATCCATCGCGCGAGCCCTAAACCCTAGCCCCAGAAGGCGCGAAGCAACAAAAGGCGCCAAATTTAAAATTTAAAATTTAAAAGTTGAAGAGCCCTAATTCTTTCTAATGGAGGATGTCCAAAGCCAAGCTCTAGCGATTCCTGCGAGAGAGAAGAAACGAGTGAGAGTGAATGCCGCGCCCTACGCAGCAGCGCTCCAGCGATTTGGCAACGAGAAATCTCTCCTGCAAGGAAAGAGGCTCCACGCCTTGATCGCCCAACGCCACCACGACCGAGACACTTACATCGGCAATCTCCTCGTCCAAATGTATGGCAAGTTCGGCAACATGGAAGACGCGGAGCTCGCATTCCACCGCATCGCCAAGCCCAACATCTTCTCCTTCAACCTCTTGATCGCCGCGTACCTCCAAAACGATTGCAGCGCCAGAGCTCTCGCCACTTTCGATCGGATGATCTCCTCCAGCAGCGTCGCCCCGGACGCTTACACTTTCTCCAACGCGGTCACCGCCTGCTCCAAGCTGGAAAATCTGTCCAGAGGTGAGGAACTCCACGAGAGAATCGCCTGCTCAAACCTGGAGAACACCACTGTCGTAGAGAATTCGCTGCTGGGTATGTACTCACGGTGCGGGAGCATCGATCGAGCTCGCCAACTTTTCGATCAGATGTGCTGCAAAGATCTCGTGTCCTGGAACACGATGCTCGCGGGATATGCCCAGAACGGGCATAGCAGCCAGGCTCTCGCGCTGTACAGCAAGATGTTAGAACAAGGCATCCAAGCTGACGATTTCACTTACTCGAGCGTTCTCAGCGCCTGCTCCAAGTGCGGTTCCTCGGATCTCCGCAGCCAAGCTGCCGGGCTGCTCGAAAAATCCATGGCCTCCGCCAGTGTCGTTGTGAAAAATGCGGCTGTCCAGTTGCTTGCCAGATGCGAGGGCCTCTCCAGCGCGAGGAAAAAGTTCGAGGCGATGGGGGCCGAGCGGAATGACGTCTCCTGGAACTCGATGATCGCTGCGTTTGCTGAGCACGGAGGTCTGGACCAGGCGATGGAGCTTTATCGCGAGATGGAGCTCGAAGGTGTCCAACCGAGTGAGGTGACCTTCATGAGCATCTTGCGAGCTTGCAGCCACTCTGGAGAGCTGGAGCAGGCCATCCGGAGCTTTGGCTGCATGCAGCACGACCATTGCCGGCTATTCCCTTTGCAGCAACAGTACCGCTGCGTTGTGGACGTTCTTGGACGAGCCGGATGGCTGGACCAGGCTGAGTATTTCATTTGCGGCACCGAGGAGCTCGAGCGGGATCCGGTTGCATGGCTGACACTTCTTGGAGCCTGCAGTGTCCATCGCGATGTAGATCGAGGAATTCAAGTCGCCAACAGGGTGGTGGAGCTGGATTCCAAGGGAGCTGCTGCTATTCCAGCTCTTGTGTTGCTGTCCAATATCTTTGCTGCTGCTGGAAGATGGGATGACGTTGCAAGCCTGAGAAGAGTCATTGATCAGAAAACTGAAAGACAAGAAAGAATCAAAAGAACTTGTTTACCTCGAGCCAAGTTCGCGTGACATCGTCCTGGATGCAAAAGGGAGAAGAAAAACGGACATGCTTGCCTTCTCAAGATGACGACTTCAAATTCCTCTCCCTGTAGAGGTGAGACAGCAGCACATACGTTGCACTGGCCTGCGGCGAGGCTTTCAAAAGCTTCTCACCAAAGATCTCGGCTCGACCAAAATCTCCATGCAGCTTACAGTTCGTGAGCAGCAGCTTCCAAGCCGTTCCATCGGCATCAAATGGCATACTCTCGAGCAGCTCCTGAGCCTGGGAAGTATGTCCCGCTCGGCCCAAAAGATCAGCTACACAGACGAAATGCTCCATGGTTGGAACCATACCGAAGTCACCTTGAAGTGAAAGGTACTGCTCGAGTCCATCCTTGTACAGCCCTGCGTGGCTACATAAGCAGAGAACGCATATGTAGAGTATGTCGTCGGGCTCCACGCCTTCCATAACCATCCTGTGGAAAACCATCAAGCCCGCCTTTCCCTGTCCATTGTAGCCATAAGCTGCGACCATCGCCGTCCAAGCCATCACCTCTTTGTCCTCGAGTTTCTCAAACAGCTCCAAAGCAACTCCCAGCAGTCCACACTTCCCATACATGTTGATCAGCGCCGTCGCAACTTTAGTATTTGAATCCAAGCCGTGACTGATCGCTGTGGCGTGGAGACGCTTTCCTTGTTCCAGAATCGTGGAGTTTGCGCACACGTCGAGAACCACGAGAAAGGATATACAGTCTGGCTTGACATCCATTCTCCAAAACAGCTCCAGCGCTTCTCTGTCCTGTCCCTTGTGTGCGTATGCGGAGATGATCACATTCCAAGAGATCACGTCCTTTTTCGGCATGCTGTCGAACAACTCCCGAGCTTCGAGCAGTTCTCCGTTGATAGCGTAGCCAAGCACCATAGCTGTTCTCGACACCATGTCATGCTCGGGCATCCTGTCGAAAAGTGCCTTTGAATCCTTGGTATAGCCGTGCTGGGCATACGCTTCGAGCATGGTGGTGCAGGTTACTAAGTCGAGACTGGGCATTCTCTGAAACAGCCCCTGTGCCTCGACAAGCTTCCCCCTCTTTGCATAAGCTCCGATCATAGCAGCCCACGAGATTCCATTCCTCTCCGGTATTCCATCGAACAAACTCCTTGCTTCTCTGCAATGATCCTTCTCTTGTGTCATCCCTGTTGAGTTATCTCGAAGTAGACTTCTTTCCGACCAGGAGAAAAGCCTGCTTTTCGAGAGTATATCACCACCTTCGAAAGGATTCTTGCTTTGCTGCGGCCCCCCGTCTTGAGCATACGCTGTGATCATTCCGTTCCAGGACTGGACATTCCACTGCGGCATCCTCTCGAAAACAGTCTTGGCTCTAACCAGGCTTCCGTTCTGCGCGCACGCAGTAAACATTGCGTTCCAGCACGCAGCGTCCCTCGAAGGCATTCTGTCGAACATTCCTTTCGCCACCTGAGGCTGCCAGCTCTGGGCATATGCCGTAAACATGCTCGTCCACGAAATGAAGTCCCACTCGGGCATCTTCTCAAACATCCGGCTGGCTTCCTGGAGCAGCCCACCCTTCGCATACCACCCAAACAGCGAAGTCCAAGTCACTGCATTCTTTTGCGGAGCTCCCTCAAACGCAAGCCGTGCCTCTCGCAGAAACCCATTCGTGGCATAAGCCTTGATCAGCAGATTCCACGAGAAAACGTTGGGCTCCTTGATGCCATCGAACACAGCCTTGGCGGCCTCCCAGTTTCCGCAGCTCCCGTACATATCCACCAGCAAGTTCCCGAGGAAAGTGTGCCCCTTGTAGCCGGATGTGTCGATATGGTCGTGGACCCGTTTACCTTGAAGGATCGACTTGGTCTGAGCGCATTGCCGCAGCAGAGAGGCGTAAGTGTCAATCGTAGCGGAGTCTCTGCCTAGAACAGCATCCAGATCCTGGAAAACATCACGGTAAGCAAGAGGAAGATTTCTTACTGCTCTAACAGCAAAAGGAGCATGCATTAGCTAGTAATACATCCTCCAAGGCAGGGGCTTTAAGGTTCAGGGTTTCTGGCGATGGCTACCTTGAGTTTAGCAGAACTTGCGAGCGCCTTGCCACGGTGCAGCAAGAGGAGCCACCATCTTCTGCTACAAGTGTCTGGAAAGAACAATGCGAGGATAAATGCGTTAGGAGGTAGTGGTAGTAGCAGTGTAGTAGTGCACAGGAAGAGATACCGAATGCAGGTGGGTGTTGGAGACGATGATCTTTACAGTGTGGAGGATGTTATAGATGATCAAATCGAGTCTACTCTAGACATGCTGGACGAGGGAGCTGACAAGACTGCCGAGGAGCTACTCCTTGGATTTGGCTTACCTCCTCCTGCTTTTGCCGCTGCTCCCGTTGAAGCAGGCCCTGAAGCAGCGGATGGAGCAACTGAGGACAGGCTAGAGAGCGTTATCGCGGCCGGAACGGTTGTGGAGTACAAGATCAACGAGGACGAGTTTCACAAAATCAGCCTCCACGAGTGTGATTTCTTCATTCGAAAGGTACCCGATCCTGACGACAACGTATATGATTTCAGAGAAGTAAGTTTAAAGCTGGTGTTCGCTGCCTTCGTTTGGCTGAATGGATCTTTCAGATGTATGTCACACCTCCGGATACTGATGTTTATTCAATCCCCAAGGTTATCGGGAAAATGCCGAAGCAGGTTCGTGAACCATGGTCTCTCGCTCACTGCGCGTCACAAACGTTACGTTTTTTTAAGCAGAATACGAGGTGCAACCTGGGAAAATGGAATGAAATAGTTCTTGTTCGAAGCAACGACAGAAACAAACCACGAGAGGCGATGGGCAGAAACGAGTTTCACGCTCTCAAAGTAAGCTCTGATGTTACCCCGTCCGAACTAACGTCTCCGTTTGTTTCTCAAGGAAGGTTTTCCTTATAAAGCACTATAGAAACCGGAGGATGGAGGCCCCAAACTTCGTTCTCAACTTTGAAAAGGTGTTTGTGCTGGACGGAGCGACGAAATCTATTAGAAAAGCCAAAGTCAAGGTACCGCCGAACACAAGTTAAGTCCGGAATGAGCTACTTACCTGGTCCACAGATCGAAGTTCCTGGCGGTAAGGATCGAGATAGAAGCAAAGAGATTCTCACCATCAGAGACGGAGGAAAGACATTTACCATCATTCCACAGGTACGTAAGTTTTGTAGTGACCTGACCAAACAACTCGCACAAATCTTTCCTGCCAGGAAAAACGGAAATCACCCGACGAAGTTATCGCGGAATTCGAATGGAAGAGATCCCGGGAAGAGTTTGAAAAGTATCTGAGAACTTTCCGGGACTTTGAAACGTCAAACTGGTTTTGATATAACAGAGAGAAGCTAGAAAACCAAAAGGACCGCTCACATGAATGCCATACGTTCCTTAATCATACACAGAATGCATAAGAAAACATTACACCCGAAAGAAAATGGAGAACACAACGAAAATGACAGACGAGGAATAAAAACTACCTGTAGAGTTATTTTCTCGATTTCGTACGGTGCCTTCCATCCTCCTCCCTGTGCAAAGATCAACGCAGTAGAGCTCCTCGGGCTGGCGGTTCTTCCCAAAGTTGACACTTTCGATGCTCTTTGACACGAGAACGTTCCGATTCTTCCCAAGCTCCACATTTTCGCTCATGTCGAAGTCGTACTTCGCGAGTCTCTTGCAGCCCGGATCAGTGACGTAACGGGGAGCAATTTCGGAACTCGAGCTGAAAAGCTCTATGCACACCGATCTCTGATCCTCTGATCCGGGAAAAATTGCGAGTTACACTTTGAAACCGACAATTGCCGCGGTTGTGAACTCGTAAAAGTTAAAACAGGACTTCCCAAGCGTTTACCTGCAAAATCACGTTGTTTTGAGGAAGGGAGCCCGTCTCTTTCTTGTAGAAGTCTCTCTTGTTCTCCTCTTGATCAATCTCCGATCGTCTCTGCTATGGCTTCCGACTCTTGTTCTTCCGAATCGAAGGTGATAGTGGGCCTGGATTTTGGGACTACATTCCCAGCTCGCCAGCTTCTGACCCAAATCAAAACGATGCACGAATGAGAAGCCAGAAAATGTAGTCCAAAATCCAGGCCTACCATCATCTTAGATTGGGAAGAACAAATAGCGGCGCCGCTACCACCACCCATGACTGTCTGAGTGAGACCTTGTTTGACACCAAAAACCAAGAATATGAGCTGAATCTCATTAATAACGCAAAATGAATACCTTGATCATTCCTGAGAGAGAGAAAAATGTAGGCTCTCGGCTCTTACTTATTTGTTTCTGGAAAAGCTCTGGCTGGTTTCTTTCTTCATGTTCTAGGCACAGGCATTGGAGCTTGGAATCGGCTCCTCTCAGGTAAAAGTAAAATCTCTTGTGTTATTTGCTACCGGTAATCTCTGTCGCAGTAAAAATTCTTGAGCTGGAGATATCAAAAATATCTTTTCACCGACAAAAGTCTCGAGGAGATTCATCACCTCGATCGCATACCTCCGCCTCAAAGCTGTTCTTCACTGAGCTTGATGATCTCCTTTGAAACCATCTTGGGGACAATTAAAAGTTTAAACAGGGCTTCCCACAAGTTTACCTCCTAGTGCAAATCACGTCCCTTGAATGCTCGGAATCTCTCTCGCTCTCCTCTTCATCGGTCTCCCGATCGCGCAGCCTCTTGGCCTATGCAACCTGGGAAAATGGAATGAAATAGTTCTTGTTCGAAGCAACGACAGAAACAAACCACGGGGTAGAAACGAGTTTCACGCTCTCAACGAGTAACTTCTGACGTTTACCTCGTAGCAACGAAATCTATAAGAAAAGCCAAAGTCAAGGTACCGAGCACAAGTTAAGCCCAGAGTGAGAGCTACTTACCTGGTCTACAGATCGGTAAAGATCGGGATGGAACCAAAGAGATTCTCACCATCAGAGGCGGAGGAAAGACATTTACCATTGTCCGTACCTCACCTCACCAGTTTTGTATTGACCTGACTAAACAACTCGCACGGATTTTCCTGCCAGGAAAAACGAAAATCACCCGACGAAGTTATCGCGGAACGAGATCCCGATCCGAGTTTGAAAAGTGTTTGAGAACTTTCCGGGACTTCGAAACATCAAACTGGTTTTGATATAACAAGAGAAAGCTAGAAAACCAAAGGGACCACTCACATGAATGACTTGGAGAGCAATCTCTCGTAAACCAAGCTCTATACACAGCGCTGCGAAGAACTCATACCCAGTCGGGATGAGCATCGCTGTCGCCATCCATGGCCTGTAAGACAAAGGATGAGTAAGAAGAAAGAAAGAAAAAAGAAAGAAAGCTTTGAGCTGTTTTAGAACGACTTGTCCTACCAGCAACAAACGCCTTGTCTTTATCATCGGTGGACGATCCGCGAGAGAATTTTGGAGCGGCACTTTACCTCGATCGGCGCCATGGTTGAAGCTAAAGGCGTGGCTCACTCGATCCTGGCGATGCGCGCTCGCATCCCACGGGCGGGTGAAGAGCGCGATGCAAAAGACCAAGCCGATGACGCCGATCGCGAGAAATATCCGGTTCTTGCGAAGGAAATCCAGGAGCTGCCTCGATTTCTCGGGAATGTGGCAGATTCCCATGGCGATCGCCTGCACAGCAAGAAAGACGGATGAAAAACCTAGGTTCTTGGCGCGATTCCAAGATCGAGACGATGCTACCTTGAATCAACGAGCACGCCGAGAATTCCCACAAATCAAGAAGAATGCCGCAGGAAACAGGATGGATTTCGAGCAAACCTCGAGCGATCGGCGCCGAAATCCGGCCAGATTTCTAGAGGATCGGCACAGCGCAGCGCATCATTACACCCTAGCGCGCTGAAATTTCGAGGAGGAGCGTGCGTCACACAATCACCGCTTCCACATTCCAGTTGCCTGTATGATCACCCAACGAATATCCTCTTTGGCCGCCAGTCTCGTGTTCGAATATGGAGATCACACTACACCAAAGAATATCCCCTTCACACCCAAAGGATATCCTCTTTCCAGTCTGGTGTTCGAACCTGTGGACTAGCATGAAAAAGAAAAACTACATCGTAAGATTTCTTCTATGACGATTCAAGTTCGCCAATGCAAAAATCATCGATCATCTGGAAAACTCTCGTTACATGTTGCGGTCTGTGAGGAGAAAAAAAAACGGGATTTAAACCGCAGTAAGAGTGAAAAAAACCTTTTTTACCCGAAAAATCCTTCGGTGGAATCACCACCAGCGTTGTTTAGAATGCTATCGCCTCCCGGATGCTCCTCCACGTACGAAGTCACATCGTAAACCTGCGGTAAAAAATTTCTCCAGATTTTACCCTCTAGAAGCTTTCAAATCTCCAATGCTACCTTGTTCTTGACAATGATCCAGCAATCGTCCCTGGATTTGTGCTTGCTCACTTCGGCGAGCGTGTAAGACTTGCGTCCCTTTAGAGCGATCGAAAAACTAAATAAGAAGCAAAATACAGCCAGAGTTCACCTTTAATCCATCTGCATTGCCCAGATTTGCGCTATTCGATCGCGATTTCGCTGGAGATGGAGATTCGATGAAAGAACAAAACTAAAACACCCGAGAGAGAAATCGCAAACCTATTCTTGACGACAGGTAGAAGAAGACGAGCGGAAGCAGCAAGATTAGCCCGACAGCCGGAAGTATCCCGAGCTCCATCCAAGAGCCCTAATTTTAGGGACATGAAGAGCCCTAATCTTTAATCCTTTTTTTGGATAAACCAATGGTTTTTATAAGTACCACCATTTTGGGAACCTTTTTCTTACTATAATCAGAGAAGAACTTAGGGTTCTTCACTCACAGTTGAAGGAAATGAAGCCGATTTGGAGAGGCCCAGGCGAGCAATTGCAAGCCAGCTGCTGCAGGTTCCGGAGATCCATTGAAGATGTCAGCGAGAGCGCCCTAAAACAGGTGTCGCGCACAAAGTTGACGGACATGCAAGTCTCCTTTACGTACAACATGTGTAGATATCTCCGCGACGCGTCAGCCTTCGTAAGATTGGCCAGGGGTGGGATGGGCGAAAAGGCCAGATACATAATCACTTTGATAGACTCCCTGGCCATGACCTTTGCCAGCGAAAACTATGGGAACCTCTTTACGTTTCCAGAGAGCTGCCAGGAGATCCTCCATGACGCGCGCAAAGTGAAGGATGCCAAGCTCAAGAAGACGATCGAGAGCTTCGCGAGGGGCGAGCAGCGAGAGGAGGATCAGGAGCCGCTGGTGCACAGCGCTGTTCTAGCCAACGTGTTTGGAGACATCGAAAGGGTTTGTGGTGGAAAGGGCGATCCCGAGGCCCAGGAAGGCGTCTACCGCCTGTCCATCGTTTACGCCTACCTGAAACTCATTGAGAAGCAGAGCCGGGAAGAGCCAAATTTTCTCACTGACTGGCAGATTTCTCGGTTGATGTCCAGCACAAATCCAAGACCTCACAAACGATCTACCATCCAATCTGTAAGCTAGAATTTCTAAGGTATGCAGGGTTTGAATTCCTTTATGACAAATTAGAAGGCTTCATTGAACGCAGGTGTAGTGGTAATTCTCCTTTGATTGGAAGAAAGAATTCTGGGTTCATCCCCAACTTAATTTTTTTTGGTTTAGATATGTTTTATAGGGTTTCCAAAAGGTTTAAAATCATGCGAAAGCGTTTTGGCGATGGACGGCCTTCCCGACGAGCTGCTCGTCCGAATCCTGTCCCTCCTCTTCTCCTCTCGCCACTTGTATTCGTGTTCTCTGGTGAGCAAGCGGTGGGCACATCTGGTAAGGCTCGTCACGCATTTCAGCCTGGAATCCACAAGCGCCGCCGCCGAGGAGCAAGGCCTCGTCCGCTGGTTTGGCAGCAGCAATACTGGTACCAACCTCCGATCCTTGTCTTTCAGCGCTGCGCCATCACCCAAGCGCTGCTGTTCGCTTGGCTGGCTAGAGGGGATTGGCAAAAATCTCCACTCGCTTTCCATCGGCAGCTATACGCGGTTTGTGGATGGTTTCTGGAGCAGCATCGCGGCCTGCCAGAAGCTCCGCTGCCTTCACATCGACGCCATGCTCGATCCTTTGCCAGCGGAGGCGGCGCCGCCCATCCTGCCCAATCTCCGCTTGTGCTTTCTTGAGGGAGGAGTGGATGTTTTCACCCTGCAGCAGCTCCTCGCGCACTGGAAATCTCTTGTTCATTTGAAGCTGAACAACGTCGTGGTGAAATCGCCCGGCACGTATCTGCTCGAGAGCCAGAGCCTCGACTCCCTCTTCCTGAGGACCAGGAAGTCCGTCCATGTCAACTTTTCTATCGCCTTGGACATGCCCAAGCTCCGCTGTATGTTCTGCAATGCGGTGCCGCGCGTGGAGCTCCTCCCGTCTACGTGCAATGTGGAGTGGATCAAGCTGCATGGGGACGTGCGGGACATCCAGGGCCTGCGCTTGTCCAAGCTCAAGATGCTCACCATCGGCAGCACCTTTGCTAGCTCTGCCCACCTCACGCAGAGGCTCGAGCCCATTGTCAGCAGGAAGTCCAGCCTCGGCGGAATCAGGGAGCTGCATCTGTTGCTGAGTCCGGCGGTCTTGCCCCACCCTCGCTCCGTCAACCTCGCCGCACTCCTGGAGCCATTCCACGGCCTCGAGGTGCTCGAAGTCGCTCGCAGGGCGATCAAGGTATTTGGAGGATGATTACTGTGATAGTTCCCGATCTGATATATATCCTATGCAGCTGCTGAGCCTGGAGGAGTGGAGTGACAGGCATGCACCGTTGCGCGTCCGCATTTTCTCGCCCTACTCAACCGAGGTGGACGTGGAGAGCGCGTGGAACAGCGACGAGGTTGAGTTTGTGTGGGGGCTCATGGGAAGCAGCAGCTGTGTGACGCTGCTCGAGATACAGAGCTTGGCGGGTTGTCGGGTTCCAGAAGAGCGTCGGCCTCGGATTCCAGGAGCAATCCAGGAGGTGGCGGATGCGTTCCCGGGGCGTGTCAAGCTGCATCCATTTCGCTATCAAGTCCCGCGGATGTGCGGCCAGCTGTGGCACCTGATCAAAGCTGGAGTCTACTCGGAAGCTCTGCACACTGAGAGCGACCACCCATGTAAATGTGTTGACGTCGTGACCATGTGTGCATGATCAATTCATTTTTCCTGTGCTTATTATAATTATGATCATCTTTAAAATGATGTGCTTTTGGTTATTACACCACAAAACCCTAGCGCCCAGAGTCGATTGGAAAGCGTCGTAAAGGTTGGTAAATCCATAACAATAACATATCTTTGTTTTAAAGAACAAAATTATTGAGCGTCACAGAATATGATGGTAACTATATGGACAATTAAAAAATATAGTTGCTGTTGCATTGTAGCAATGCTTGGTTTGTTTATATATTTTAATATTTTAATTGTATGTAAAATTTTAACATTTATTATGTATTTTTTTAAAATTTATATATTTGTTTTAACGTTTTTGGGCTTTACAAGCAAAGCCCTAATATTAGTTCCATATGGGAGAGCTGGACGTTGCTCTCGAGGCAGCCATAGCAGCCTACGAGCGTGGCGATCGAGAGGGCCAGGGGCCATTTCTTGTCGCCCGGAACGTACCCTGGCAATCTTACGATGCATGGATGTGTGGCCTCGAGTGCTGCTGGCGGCTGGAATTCAAGGCCGGGGATGTGTGGATGCACGGGGATCCTTCCATCGTTCACGAGACAATCTCAAACTGGTTCAACACTATGATCATCACCCAGATCCAGTGCATCCCCGAGGTTGAGTGCGCCATCGACGTGATCTCCGCCGCCAGGGCCTCCCGCCTGGCGACGATTCGAGGCGACAAAGAGCCGGACCAGTGCTACTTCTCCTCCTCAGTCCTCGAGCCACAGCGAGCGGTGATCGAGGTGGCGTACAAGAACGAGGGGCTGGAGGCGCTCAAGAGCTCGGTGGATCTGTGGGAAGCCAGTGGCTCGCTGCTGGCGATTGGTGTCAAGATCACCCGGGAGCTCGATCTCACGTTTGTAGCCAAGGAGCGTGGCGCAGCGGCGGCGACAGAGCTAAAGTTTGGGCCTGAGTTTCTGGATGAGAGTAACCAGGAAGCGTTTGTGGTGGAGTTTCCATTGTCGTGCTTTACTGGGGATGTGGAGGGCGATCACCGCATCAGGTTTGATCTCTTTGGGCTGCAAAAGTATGTGATTAAGATGATCGAGCACGAGAGAGTAGCCAAGGAAATGACACTACCTGTAAGAAAATAGTGATTTCGTATAGAGGTTCTTCTACTCCAATGTTGCCTTTCTCAATTTTAACAAGAGATCTTTTGTGTCAGTTGCGGTGATCTGGAAATGAAAACGATCATACATCAGTGACAATACACGCCCGTAGAAAACTCACCTTGAGGAACTTAGAAACAAAACGAGCAGCAGCTACGCCACTGTGCTCAGGCATCACCGAGCCTGAAAAACTAGACATAAAAACGTTCGTCAGTCAGTGGAGAGGATTTGTGAAAGTTGCTACTTACTAAAGTTGTATATTCGCTTTTATGTACGTTAGTTCTTCCTCCTGGCTCGTTTCTTCAAAAACTCTGGAACTTCAGTCACCTTGTTCCAGCTCTTACCCCTCTCCCAATCGAAGATATCGTCTTCCACCGTCTTGTATCTCAGAGAGTACGAGCTTTCAGCGCCACCTTTTTCACTGCTCTGATCCTGGAACCCCGTCGCGATCACGGTCACACGGATCTTTCCCTTGAAGCTCTCGTCGATCACAGCGCCAAAGATCACATTGGCATTGGGATGAGCGATGCTGTAAATCCTGTCCGCCACCACGTTCACTTCGTGGAGAGTCAAGTCGGGCCCCCCTGTTACGTTGTAGACGATTCCCATCGGCCTGTTCATCGAGCACTGGAGAAGCGGAGACATGATCGCCGCTCGGGAGACTGCCTCGGCACGATCCTTTCCGTGGCCCCCAACGCCGATGCCCAGCATCGCACTGCCAGCGTTCGACATGATCGCCTTCACGTCCGCAAAATCTACGTTGACGAGCCCGGGAACTGTGATGATGTCCGAGATGCCTTGCACACCTTGCCGGAGGATGTCGTCCGCGAGGCCGAAAGCTTCCACGATGGAAGTGTTGGCACTCACCATCTCGAGCAGCTTGTCATTTGGAACCACCACCAGAGTGTCGGACGCGTTCTTCATGGCCTCCATCCCGAGACGGGCTCCGGCTGCTCGCTTCTTCCCCTCGAAAGTGAACGGTTGTGTCACGATTCCAACCGTGAGTGCTCCCATTGCTTTGGCCAAGCGAGCAACAACTGGTCCTGCCAAAGTTAACAACGTTAGTGTCTAAGCGATGGATGGTCAAACAATCTCTAGCTCAATGCGAAGAACACTCACGAAACAATCTCTAGCTCAATGAGAAGAACTCTCACGAAACAATCTCGATCTCAATGCGAAGAACACTCACGAAACAATCTCTAGCTCAATACGAAGGACTCTCACGAGAAACAGTAAAGATAAACTCCAGAACAAACAAAGAAGAATGACTAACCTGCGCCGGAGCCAGTGCCTCCACCCATACCAGCAGCAATGAAGATAAGATCTGCGCCTTCGAGCGCCATCGAGAGCTCGGCCAGTGATTCCGTTGCTGCTTCCTCGCCAACTTCGATCTTTCCCCCGGAGCCTCTTCCAAATGTCGTCTCCTTCCCAATCTGGAGCTTGTTTGGAGCGATGCATCGCCGCAAAGCCTGAGAATCCGTGTTGACAGCCCAAAACTCTACGTTTGGAAGCCTGGAATTCACCATCTGGCTCACCGCATTGCATCCGCCTCCACCGACGCCAATGACCTTGATCACAGCCTTCCCGGCCATGCTCGAAGCTCTGACCGTGGCCATCGACGTGACCGCATCGAGGAAATCCCTCCCGTCCGCCCCAACATTCGATCCATTCCCACCCGCATTCCAGGAATTTACGTGGTGGATCACCGAAGAAGCAGACGCGAAGATCGACAGAAAATTCTCGCGCCGGAAAAATGGAAGGCTGGAGAAGTGGCAGCGGCGAGAAGAAATCTTCGTCGATTCGCAGCTGCGCAGCAAGGAGATAGAAGATGCGAGCGCCCCTTGCTCCATCGCTCTCGACACTACATTTGCGAGCCCTAAAATCTCTCTAAAACCCTAAATTTTCTAAAATTTGGATTAGCCCTAATCCTTTATCAAGGCAACTATTTATTTAATTTTTATTCAGATTATTTGTGGATTTTTTATTGTGAGCCAATGCAAAATTTAGCCCGTTTTTCGTATGCTCCTCTCGAAAGTGTTGGATTCGTTTTCTGTGGTTGTCGTTATGCAGTTAGCACGATTTATATTCTTTTTACAATAAACAATTATTGTAATTTTAAACAGGGCTAAAATTAAATAAATAGACAAAACTTTCGATAGCCTTTGAGTGAGAGGAGAAGGGCTTGAGGCGCGCGCCATGGATCCCGAATCTCAGCGGAGCTATGCGGAGCTCCCATCAGGGGAGGAGGCGGAGGAGATTCATTCAAATCCCACTGCGGCGACGGAGAATTCCAGGAACAGACGCATTGATCTAGTCCTGACGCTGGTGGGGATTTGCTGCGTCGTCGCTGGAACTTTTTTCTGGATCTCACTTCCTTCGAGCAACACCGAGAATTTCTCACGGATTGCTCCGGACGGGGGTTTCTTGGCCAGCGAGAGAACGGCATTCCATTTCCAACCGCGGAACAACTGGATGAACGGTAAGCTTTTGCAAAAGATTTCCATGAAACCTCTCTGATTTATCATCTTTTGCTGGACAATTTTCCCTGATCTATCTTCCTCTGCTGGACATTCTTCCCTCACCAGATCCAAATGGTAAGATCTCAAGATCTTTCTCAAAAACTCTACTGACATCAATGAATTCTATGACTATACCAGGTCCTCTCTTCTACAAAGGCTACTACCACTTGTTCTACCAGTACAATCCATATGGAGTAGAGTGGGGAAACATCTCCTGGGGCCATGCTGTGTCCACTGATCTCCTCCACTGGCAACATATGGATCTGGCAATGCAGCCAGACAAGTGGTATGATGCAGATGGAGTGTGGTCTGGCTCTGCAACAATCCTCCCCAATGGTCAAGTGATCATGCTCTACACTGGCTCCACAAATGCCTCTGTTCAGGTCCAAAATCTCGCTCTTCCACTCAACACCTCAGATCCACTCCTGAGGGAGTGGATCAAAATCCCAGAGAATCCCATTCTGGTGCCACCACCAGGGATTGCTCCTAAAGACTTCAGGGATCCAACAACAGCATGGCTGGAGGCTGATGGGCTGTGGAGAATTGCAATTGGTGCCAAAAAGGGCAGGGCTGGACTGGCTCTCATCTACAAAACCTTTGATTTCCTGCACTGGGAGCTGGAGGAGGAGTATCTACACACTGTTCAAGGCACAGGGATGTGGGAGTGCATTGATTTCTATCCAGTCTCAACTGCCACCAGCAATGGGTTGGATACATCCAAAGTTCAGACCAATGAGCTCACTAAGCACATTCTCAAGGCCAGCCTGGATGATGACAAGCATGACTACTATGCAATTGGGCTGTATTCTGAGAGCTCTCATACTTGGATCCCTGATGCCCTTGACAATGATGTTGGGCTGGGGCTGAGGTATGATTATGGCAAGTATTATGCCTCCAAGACTTTTTTTGATTCCAAGCACCAGAGGAGGATCTTGTGGGGATGGGCTAATGAATCGGACAGTCTGCAAGATGATATCAGGAAGGGGTGGTCTTCGGTGCAGGTAAAATGTCATTTTATTGTTTTTTTTTCCACTTGGGCTCACATACTTGTCTTTGCATGAAAAGACACTGCCCAGGATCTTGTATCTTGACAACTTGACTGGTACCAACTTGATCCAATGGCCAATTGAGGAGGTAGATGCCCTCAGGCATGACAAAGTGAGCAGATCAAATGTGCTTCTCAAAGGTGGTGACGTGGTAGAAGTTGATGCAGCTCAAGGGGCACAGGTATAGATGCCTTTTTTCTTCACTTCTCTCTCACCACCTTTTTTGTTCACTTGTGCAGCTTGACATTGAGGTGGGATTTGAGTATCCAGATGCAAGCAAGCTGGACGCACTTCCAGAGAGCGAGAATTACGATTGCAGCCAAGGTGGGGCAACTCACAGAGGTGTTTATGGCCCTTTTGGCCTCCTTGTTCTTGCTGAAGACAAGTTGCAAGAGATGACAGCAGTCTACTTCTACATGACACTAAAACGAGATGGAAGTTGGGAAACAAGAGTTTGCAGCGACCAAAGCAGGCAAGCTTCTTCTTGCTAAAGTTTTCGATCCACGTCTCTGATCCCCATGTTTCCAGATCATCTCTAGAACCCGGAATTGACACAACCGTGTACGGAACGCTCTTCCACAGGCTCCCAACGGAGGATTCGCTCTCGTTGCGTGTCATAGTAAGCATTGGATCGTGCGCGGAGCTTGCTCTAATCCTTTCTTGGGTGTTGCGCGATGCAACTTGTGTAGGTGGATCACTCCATCGTGGAGACTTTCGTGCAAGGGGGACGCGCTTGTATCACGTCTCGCGTCTATCCAACGCTTGCTACTGGTGACAAGGCTCGCCTCTTCATGTTTAACAATGGAACGCAACCGGTTGTCGTGAAGAACTTGGATGCGTGGAAGATGAGATCGACCACGCTGAGTGTCTTGCCCGTCACTGAATGGAGGCTCGCTGCTCGACAAAGTTGAATCATTCTTTCAAGTTTATAAGTGGTAGAAATTCTCGAGAAGTATATATGTACCTTGGATAGAGAGGGAGGGTCTCACTTGGCAACGGGAATGGCAACTTTTCGCTCTTTCTCCCACGCAACCTGGCCCATCATCGTCAGCAAAGAGCGAGCGTCCCGTTCGTCCAGAGCCTCCCGCTCGAAAGGTATTCTTATTTCCATGATACGTGGTGGAGATCTTGTTAGAACTCTCATGTCGAAACCGAGTCGATCCACCCAAGTGAGGCTCGCTTGTTCGACCTGAATTCATACAAATAATCAATATACGGAAAGCTTTCAGCGTTTGAGATTTTACCTCTGCTTCCAGATGAGCATACACTCTACAAAATCGGAGAATGTCTTCCCAGTTTTTCTTGTTCATGTCTTCCACGATCCTTGGGGCATAATCCTTCAAAGGGTCGGAAGTAGCACCGGTGTAGTCTACTCCAGAGACCCAAACTTCTTCCTTGTTTAACGAAGATAAACCAGTCAGCTCATTCCAAAACTAGCAAGAAAGGGTGTTGGATACCTCGCTTAAATCCTGACATTGGAAAACTTCCTCCACGTTCATCGTGAACAAATCGTGCTCTTCGGGACAGTCCTCCCCAAATCTACGCTCCCAAACTGTATCGAGCTACATCTTGATGAAATAAGAAACAGAAGAAAAACACCGAGAAAACCAACCAACCTTTGATTTTTCTGCTCTCGAGATACGTCCTTTCAACGTGCATTGCGCTCGTCGACCATTTTGATCGAGCTGCCAAACAAGTGTCAGTCACAACCATCGAATTCTCGGCGCAAATTCTCATCACTCACCTGTGCATGGAGGCTACTCCTGCTATCATCACCCAAATTCTTCGCATGAAGAGTCGGTGGACGTAAGCAAAACACCGGGGATCCATTCACATCCAATGCAAATTGGACTGTGCTTCCAATCGGCCAGCCGTCGCTCGACAATGTGGAGAGCGTCCCCTCGGAGCAAACCTCCATGAGCGTGCGAGCGGACTCCGCCGGCGATGGCCTCAGCTGCGCCGCGACGATCAAAGCCCTAATCCTTCTCTTTGGCGAGAATCCAACGCGCAGAGGCGAGAATTTAGCGCTGCTGGTCGTGGATCCCGCGAATGCTGCCCAGCTCGATGGCGCCAAGCTAGCGCCATTCGCCATTGCTGGACTGGAGCCCTAGAAATAGGTAAATGGAGAAGGCATGAGCTCACACTCTTTCAACCTCCTCGAGGTAGGGTTTCTTTTTTCTTCTTTTCTTTTGGAGGGGAGGATGCGGTCTCTTTGTGAGAGTGGCTGGGATCGGCAATGCGGGCGCTCGTGGTGCTCGCGTTCTTTCTGGGAATGGCGAGCGCACAAATCGTCCCGGCGCTCTTCGCATTTGGCGACTCGCTCGTCGATTCCGGCAACAACAACATGCTGCCGACGATCGCGAGGGCAAATCATCCTCCCTATGGCTACAATTTCGACAATCACGCCGCAACTGGGCGATTTTGCGATGGAAAGCTCATCCCCGACTTCCTAGGTTCGTAAGAAATCTTCGTTTTCATGGATTTCTCTTCCTCTCCTCACTTTCATGAATTTCTCTAACGTGTGTAGATTTTTTTTTCACAGCTTCGCTCTTGGGACTTCCATTTCCACCTCCATATCTCAGCGCTGGTGACAACATCACTCAAGGTGTGAGCTTCGGATCCGCCAGCTCGGGGATTGGTCGATGGACGGGGCAAGTAAGTGAGTTCTATGATCAGCATTGTCGTATTTCTTGGATGTCTATCCTCAAACTCAGCTTTCGCGAATTCGTTTTGCAGGGCTTTGTTCTATCGTTTGCAAACCAAGTGGATGGTTTTCGAGAAGTCCAGTCTAGATTGGTACGCAGGCTTGGACCAATGCGTGCCATGAGTCTCATCTCTCGCTCCATTTTCTACATTTGCACTGCCAACAACGATGTCAACAATTTCGTTCTTCGTTTCCGGACGGAGCTTCCTATAGACCTTCGTGACGGATTGCTGGTGGAATTTGCTCTCCAGCTCGAGGTACTTTTGATGATCCTCCGCGAGCTTCTAGTGATTTCTACCGTGTTTCTAGAGGCTGTACCGGTTGGGAGCTCGGAAGTTCGTGGTTGTGAACTTGAGTGCTGTGGGATGTATACCAATGAACCAACGTTTCGGACGTTGCGGTTCAGCTGGCATGAACGCGGCCTTGTCTTTCAACCTCGGCCTCGCGTCGGTCCTTGACAGCTTGAGAATTTCCATGAGAGGAGCTCGCATTGTCACAGCCAACATGGAAGGTCTGATGCTCCAAGTCAAGTCCAATCCTCGCGCTTACGGTACGTCATTCATCCACTTAAAAATTGTGTGATCGCACTGTTTTCTTCTCGTTTCGATGGCTTCACTCTTTGCGTGTGAGTTATTGTTTTTCTTTTCTTTCTGCGATCTGATTCAATGATTCAGTGCTTTTGTTTTAGTTCCAGTGTTTGCTTGCTCATTGATTGGATTACAGGAACTTAGGACAGCTTCAGTGGTGTGATTCAAACTTAGCATTTTCTTCCAGAATTTACCAACAAAGAGCTCAGTGATTCAGTGCTTTTGTTTGAGTGCTAGTGTTTGCTTGCTCATTGGCTTTTTTGGATTGCAATGCAGTAACTTAGCACAGCTCCAGTGGTGTGACTCAAACTTGGTTCTTTCTTCCAGGATTTAGCAACACTGTACAAGGATGCTGCCCGCTCAACCAGCCGTGGAGATGGTGCTTCGACGGTGGCGAATTTTGCGAGAAGCCATCCAACTTTATGTTCTGGGACATGGTCCATCCCTCGCAGGCCTTCAATAGCATCGCAGCACACCGATGGTGGAACGGTACGCTAGAGGATGTTTATCCCGTGAACATTCGTACGCTGGCCTCTATATGATCATGTACAACCAGCTCATTGTTTTGTTTTGATTTTTCTATGATCAGCAAGAACGGTACGGTATAAGAAGTTTACCCGTACGCGAATCAAACAATGCTATTGTCGCTTTAGAGCAAAAAACAATTGTCACGAAGAACACGTCCATCCATCACAGTGCGACACGTGGCACCCAATGCTGGCTCATTTCTCTTGAAGCGCAATATCTCTCATTACCTTCGATCTTTCTGGAATTTAGGGATTGATTTGGGAGGGATGGAGGCGCGGGAAGAGTGAAGGCGCCGGCGATGGCGCTGCATTCTCTGTCCGGCGCAATGCCGATGGCGCTCAGGCCGATCTCCGACACGAGAGTTTGCATCGCGGCGCAGTCGAGGTTTGTGTGGAATCCGGCGCTGCGAGGTAGGGTTTCCAGCCAGAAGAGCGGCCTCGTCGTTGCGCTTTGGCACCGTCAGGGAATGTGGAGGAATCAGCTCCGATCCTGCCAGTTACAATGTGCTACCAGGTATTTCTTCGGATTTTCTCAGAGCAGGGAGAGAATGAGCTCACATTCTCTGGTTTTTGTTCTCCAGGAAAGGGAAGATGATTGTCCGGTGTCACGGTGGCAAGGTGAAATTCAGGCTTAGATTGGATCATCAAGTCGAGTTTGGGGAGCATCACGCTGTCATAGGCTCGGCCGATTTCATGGGGTCTTGGAAAAATCACGTGAGCATGACATGGACGGAGTCCGGTTGGGTGGCGGACATTGAGGCGAGTCCGGGCGATCGAGCTGAGTTTAAGTACGTCATTGTGGCCGGAGATGGAAGACTTACGTGGGAGGAAGGTCCCAACCGTGTGCTAGACGTTCCCAGCGGAGGGAGCGAAATAGTGTCTCAGTGGGAGAATCCTGATTTGGTGGTGACGACTAACGGTGCTGCTGCGGAAGCTCATGTCGAGGCGCCCGTGCATGAAAAGAAAGATAAAAAGGAGAAGGCCAAGGAAACCGTGACTGCTTCAAGCGATGGTGATATGTCTTTTTCGCAAGGATGGCAAGGCAAAAACGTTGCCTTCATGAAAGCTAACGAGCACACGAGCAGGCAAGGAGGGAAATGGGAAACCGCAGGTCTAGAGGGTGCGGCGCTGCGCATCGTGGAAGGAGATAAAAAGTCTGGTAATTGGTGGCGAAAGGTACTCTTCTAAATGCAACAGATGCTCAGCTAATTCCGTGTTTTTTTCTTTCTGTGCGGTGCAGTTGGAAGTTGTCCGGGATCTTCTAACAGATGATCTAGGCAAGGCTGATCGACTGGACGCTCTTGTTTATTCTTCTACTTATCTTAAGGTAGACTGGATTCTAGATAGAGAATATGGATGACCTTCTAAGTTTCTTTGTGTTTCTGCAGTGGATAAGTACAGGTCAAATACAATGTTTTGAAGATGGTGGTCATTATCGACCCAACAAACATGCCGAAATCTCGCGGATGATATTTCGGGAGCTTGAAAGCATTTATTCGGACAAGACAACAACAACAACAGAGGTTTTATTTTACATAAGCTACTTTTCTTGGTTAACGTTCTGGTTTTTAGGAACGTGTTGTGATCAGAAAGATCCATCCTTGCTTGCCATCATTTAAGGCTGAGTTCACAGCGGCTGTTCCTTTGACACGTATAAGGGATATTGCTCACAGAAATGATATCCCTCACGATCTAAAGGTATTTGTGAACATTCGACTTCGTTTTGGCTAATGACGTGGTGTATTTGTAAAAGTAGCAAGAGATAAAGCATACAATCCAGAACAAACTGCACAGAAATGCTGGTCCAGAAGATTTGGTTGCGACAGAAGCATTATTAGCTCGTGTGACCAAAACACCGGGAGAGTACAGTGCGGCGTTTGTTGAGCAACTCAAGATCTTTCACGGTGAGCTCAAGGACTTCTTCAATGCTAGCAGGTACTAGTCGTTGCTTTAGTTATGCACATTTCAGGTGTTAACATAGTGCCTTTTTAGTTTGACTGAGCGTTTGGATGGGCTGCGTCCATCACTAGATGAGCAACAAATTTCCGTGATGGATAATTTCATGGAAAAGAAGAAGGTGCAAAGTTCATTCTCTGTTTTATTTTTTATATAAATTTTAATATCTCACGTACTCTTGCAGAAACTGGACGAAGTGGGGGATGGTGGGAATTCGGACATGCTAGTCGGTGCCATGCATGCTTTGACGGGACTTCGGGCTGTTCTTTTGAAGGGCCTCGAAAGTGGACTAAGAAATGATGCGTCCGACGATGCTATTGCCATGCGGCAAAAGGTAAAGGCTGCAGATGAGTATTTGCGTATCAGACAGCTTCTTGTTTTGTAGTGGCGTCTTTCCGAGATTGGCCTTGAGGACTACTTTTTCGTCCTGTTGAGCAGGTGAAAACAATGGTTTCATAAGATTTAGTGTACTGATGAACATTGCAAATCTCTCAGATTTCTCAATGCCATGGATAGCTCTGGTGGAGCAAAATCTTTGAGCGAAGAAATCCAATCTAAAAGTACTAGCAAATGGAAGCAACCGCTGGGTGGAGTTGTGCTGGGCATTCGACAGCTAGGCTTGTCTGGATGGCAGCAAGCTGAATGTCTTGCTATAGAGAATGAACTCATGACTTGGGAAAAGGATGGCATTTGCGGTAAAGGTATGTCAATAATTCTATTTGTGTTTTCTAATCTGAGCGGGTCTTTAGGGAGTGAGGAGGATATCAGGATGTGGGGTTTAAGATTAAAAGCCACATTAGATCGAACGCATCGGATGGCCGAAACATATTCAGACTTGCTCCTTAAACTGTATCCAAAGCGTGCACAGGTAAAAGACAGATGCTTGCTTTTAGATGAAGTCGTATACAATCTTACAGAACCTTGGAAATGCGTTGGGGATCCCCGAGAATTCGGTTCGGACGTACGCCGAAGCAGAAATCAGGGCCAGGTAGAAAACTCGTTTTTAGTATGAGGCGTTTTATTCTAGTTTTCCCCTTCAGTGTTGTTTTCCAGCTTTCGAAGCTATGTACGCTGCTCCTGAAGGCTATTCGTTTTGTTTTACATACCGAGGGTTGGGATGTTCTTATGCCCGGCATTGCGTGTGGAAAGCTTTTTGAGGTAAGACATCTCTGGCTTTTTAAACGCGCATTATTTTGACTTGTGAATTGTTGCAGGTCCAGAAAATTGTTCCTGGATCACTGCCTTCGTCAGCTGAGGGACCAGTTATACTTCTGGTGAAACAAGCTGACGGCGATGAGGAGGTAATACTAGTTTTGTCTCGAGTAAATGTTTTATGAGATGCGATAGTACAGGTTCGCGCTGCTGGGCCCAACGTTGCCGGAGTAATACTTCAACAGGAGCTCCCTCATTTGTCTCATCTCGGTGTGCGAGCTCGTCAGGTATGCTGCAGAATATGGTCCAGACAGAGTCCTTACTCGGTGGTTCTGCAGGAGAAAGTTGTGTTTGTGACGTGTGATGACGACGATAAAATCAAGGAAATGCGGTCGTTGCTTGGTAAAAGTATCAAGTATGTTTATTGTTGTCACTTCTGCTACGTTCTAACGTCAGCTTTGCAGGCTGGAGTCTTCTTCTGTAGGTGTTCGTGTGTCGACTCAAGGAGCGGAGCAGGGAGCAAGCTCCACGGCCAGAGAAACAGAAAAGGGTGCCCATGATGAAGCCTCTGTTTCTGAAAGCAAGGTATAGTCTTCCGTTCTGTGTTACCACTGCTTGTTTCCCTGTCAATGGTGTAGTTGTACATGTTTTGTTGAGAGCGCTATGTGCCATGGTTGACAGTCTTGGATCAGAAGATTATGCTACAACCTGCTGATGTTGGGAAGGGAAAACATACGTTTGTAGGTGGTCAAAAGCTCGTCAGGAGTTATCCTTGATCTCAAGGATGCAGATTTGGCGACAGCAGGTGCAAAATCGAGCGCTTGCGGGAAACTAGCTACGCTGGCCGAGCTCTCTGCTGAAGGTAAGTATTTCAATTTTTGTGTGCAAGTTTTTAGTTTTTTGCCTTTGCAGAACAAAACAATGGCGTTTCATGCAAGTTTTTGGTACCACCGGGGCTAGTAATTCCTTTCGGATCAATGGAGGGGGCATTAGAAAGCAGTGGGAGTATGGATACGTTTCACGACCTGCTAGAGCAAACGGAAACAGCTCAGGTTGAGGAGGGTGAGCTCGATGGGATTTGCAACCAGCTACGCGAACTGGTATCGTCACAGAGATTGCCAAAGTCTGCGATGAGCAAAATTGCGGAAGGCTTCTCATCCGACGCACGACTTATCGTCAGGTCCAGCGCCAACGTAGAAGATCTAGCCGGCATGTCAGGGGCCGGGCTTTACGACTCCATCCCCAACGTGAAGCTATCAGAGCCCGAAAACTTTTGCAAGGCAGTAGCAGGGGTGTGGGCTTCTCTATACACAAGAAGAGCGGTTCTTAGCAGGCGGGTTGCAAAGGTACCACAGAAGGCAGCATCAATGGCGGTTCTAGTGCAGGAACTTCTGGCTCCGGATCTAAGTTTTGTCCTGCATACGGTGGATCCGATCGATCGAAACGCTCAGATAGTCCAGGGGGAACTAGCGGCGGGCTTGGGAGAGACTCTGGCCTCTGGAACCAGAGGAACGCCGTGGAGGCTGTCGGCGAACAAGGTGGATGGCAGTGTCAAGCTGGTGGCATTTGCAAACTTTAGCGAGGAGTTCGTGGCGGGGAGAGATGGAGTCGCGGATGGCAAGGTTTCGAAGAGAGTGGTGGATTACAGCACCAAGAAGCTGTCGGTGGACTTGGAGTACTCGGTGACGCTGGGACAGCGGCTTGCTGCTATAGGGACGTTTTTGGAGAAGAGTTTTGGATGCCCGCAAGATATAGAAGGGTGTGCGGTAGGGGAGGAGATTTACATTGTCCAAGCCAGACCGCAGCCATAATAGAAGGTTTTGGGAACTTTATGTATGTGGGGGGCAGCGATTAGTTCCTTCTATGCAATCTATTCGTGGAGATTGTTCTAGGACCTGTGAGCAAGTTCAGTGGCACGAAGAAGATCGATTGCGAGGTTGCACTATACCTGCTGGAGCTGGTGTTTCAAAAGCTTGCCAAATGTTTGAATATTACAGCCCAGTCATGTGGCACCTCGAGCAGGGGTGGCGTGCCACGAACTTTTCGCAACGAGTGCGAGTCTGAATGCCCACCAGACAATGAACGTGAGATGTTGCAAGAAGAACATTGACAGGCACTGGATTTTTCCCAGTGCAGTATTTGAGACCAAGGCTCCCCAAATCTGGGACAAGCATTTGTATGGTGATAAGAGTTCTCAGTTGGAAGCTGGATGACGTTATGGCTCATGTCCAGAAGAGGAGCTGGCTAAGGAGTTTAGGATCTCAAATCTATGACGACTTTGTTTCCAGCCTGCTTAAAACAGCTCCGTTTAGTGGAGTGAGAAAGTCCACTCTGCAGCCAAAGCGAGAACACTACAGCACACAAGGATACGCAATGTAGGCAGTTGTGGAAAGCTTTTTGCTATTTAGCCACATTATTTCTTTAACTATTAATTTATTCACTATTTATATATATATGCTACTTTCTACATATTGTTTTTGTTGACCACAATTTTATATTTGGTGATACTGAAGAATATAATACTAAATCACAATCATCTTGCACGCTAAGATAAGTTGGTGAAATACAAATTGGTTGTGGGTTACAATATATATTTATAGACCATTCAACTTTATTAATATGTGAATACAACACTAAATTGCCATCATTTTGTAATGTCAAATAGCATGGAGTAATAATAGTTTTTATAGTTAAAGTTTGCCATAGCTTATTTCTCCCTACATATAAAACTAAGTTACAGTTTAAATGTAAAAATAAAATGACATTAGAATTTGGGGATGTTAAATATTCATTTGTATATAAATTATGATGAGGCTTCTGCTTAAAACCACTATAAAGAGTGCTTCTAAATATATCACAATCCTCAAATGTTTCTAAATTTTGGGTGTTGGTAATTTCTGGTTCATAAGAACCATCACGACTATAATAAATTTGATACTTTTTTGTAGTTATTATTGCATAGCTTGCAGCTGCCTTTAAAATTTTAAAAGAGTTGTAAGCCAATAAATTTCTTAAGCTATCATAAATAGTATGCCCTTTTACCATCTTATTTGTGCTTCCACTTGATGCACAATTTGGAGATTTTCCAGCAAACCGTGATAATTTTATGACAACTATTCCTATAGATAAAGGTAATGTAATAGCATTTGACCAAGCTTCTGGATATACTCCATCTTGAGTAATACTTGAAATTATAGAATCAATAGCATTTAAAATAATTTGCATATCAGATGGACTTGTGCTTCCTTCATATCCAAATTCAAATTTTGTACATTCTATACTAAAACTAATTCCTAATAAAATTGAAATATAAATAAAAGACATAAGAAAAATATTTCCCTTTATACTTAATATTATATTTAAGGTGTACACTATAATTAGTATTTTTATTCAATAGCTGTAGAAAATAACTATAAGTGAGTGTTACATAGCACTATCATTATAAATTTAATTTAATATTGGAAGATTAAATGTTAGAAAATGGTAATAAGAAGAAACAAAACATTTAAATTATTAATTAATAATTTTATTGTTATCTACAATATCTAAAAAGTTTATATATATATATATATATATATATATATAGACACACACACACACACACACTTACTAACAAACAATTATCACAAAGCTAATTTGTATTTTAGCAACTGAATATTTTTACTTTAACTAGAAAATTAAAGCAATTGAAGAAGCCTCGCGAGGGCTCTGTGAGGCCTTGAGCATTAATCATGCCTGCATGCAGCCCCAAAGAACCAAGGCGTGGGCAGGACCGTCACTATAGTCCCAGATGCCACGTAAGGGAATCATTCGCACGCCAAGAAAACAATACCAAAACTCTATTGTGACTCAGCCTTGCAGCTTAGTGATGATTTTCATGACAATTCTAACTTTTCGTGATGTATTAAATTGTCCATTTTCAAGTAAGACCAAGAGCTGTTGGGCTGGTGACACAAAATATGAAGTTTTTTCTTTGGTGAGTCAATGCCAAAAGAGCGGTCAAGGGATGCCTTGTTATACATGGCCCAGTAGCGACGAGTTCAATTGTTGCCCACTTTGTGAGTAGCACAAGCTCTCGCTATTGGATTAGTTTGGGCCTCAACATTAAAACTATTATAATATTTAGTCTTAACCATAAGAATTAGATAAAATATAATGTTGTCACCTTATCAGTTTTTCAGGTTAGAGTCTTTTTAGAAGGGAAGAGTTTACCTTGCTGTCAGAAACATATCCTTCATCAGGGCAGCTCTTTGTGGTGCAGTAATCTATAATTAATAATTTTATTCAATAGTTGTAGAAAATAAATACAACTTAGAAGTGAATATTATAGAACTTTCCTTATAAATGTAATTTAATATCAGAAAATGAAATGCTAGAAAATGGTAATAAGGCTACTTACCACTTTTAAGCCTATAAATAACTTTACATATAAGATTTTCTAATGATGCAAAAGGATTAACAATCAAGTATTTGTGTTTGGGATCCTGGATCTGAGACTTGTAAAAGGGATGACAACATAGATGTTTAACAATGATCTTTTGGAAGTGTGATAAAACTTATATTTTGAGTTAGGATTTGGATTTTCCATTGTGATTTAGAGTGTAGAGAGGTCTTGAGGTTTGCAACATCCCATACAAGCACCTTGAGTTGAGTCATTGTGGTGTGAGAGGGTGTTAATGTGGGGAATGGGCTACAGCACATTCTAGCACTTCAATGCCCTCACCATAGGATTTCTGATAGTTCTTGTAGCTAGTTGGGGAAATCTGTCAGTGATGTTTCTTTCTTGGTTGGGACTCTACATGATTAATATTTGAGGTCTGATGCCTGGTGACACTTATACAAAATCTGGGCCGAGCTGTCAGTTTGGTGACATGTGTTGATCATTCCCCACTGGATTATAATTAATCTTAAGGACTTTTAATTAAGGTTGTTTGTGACAAAATCAGTCCGTACATTCACTCTTCTTCATTATCAGCAATGAACCTACCCGTCCCAGGATTGATGGCTGCAATGAAGAAGAAGATTATGTTGAACAACAAGAGGGGTTCAATCTCAGTGATAGGCACTCCAGTCTCTATGTTGAGCTGCGCCAACGCTCCCTTGCCAGTTATAAGCTCACCAATTATAGAGAACGCAATTCCCAACTGTGCGAGCCGACCAACAAAGAGCTCGTTCGATTTGGTGAATCCAAACACTGGGCCTGTGATCAAACCATAGAAATATGATCACTGAGATGATTAGAGAAATACGTTACCTTTTTCTTTCAGCCCAATGGCGGATTTAAACCCTTTGCCCGGTTCGATGATAGGCCCTGGTGTTTCGTCAACGAATTTGCCTCTGTCACCCAAAGCACCAATGGCTCCCAACAGGGTGAAGAGGATGAAAAAGAGCAGCAAAGGCTCCGTCTCGTTCAATGGAATCCCAGTCTCCAGATCAAACTGTGCCAGGACTCCCTTTCCTGTGATTGCCTCTCCAAGCAGCGAGGCCTACGATTTGCAAGATTACTACGTAATCGTTACTGTCATATTGAGAGGAACTTACTGCAAAGCCGATCATTGCGACCCTTCCCACGAACAATTCGTTCTGCTTGGTGAATCCAATCCCTCCAGAGGTCCCGAAGATGCCATCCTCGACAGTGCTCTTCGACTGCCCAAAACAATGTAAATCTCAAATCGCTACACCTTCTTCTAAGATTTTGAACGTAGTGGAAAGAGTGGCTTCTTCGAGGCTACCTTTTTACTCGTTGCCGGAGCCTTGCTCTTGAGAGCAAAGGTGCGAACGATCCTGCTAGCGCTGCTGAAATGCTGCGGTGCCACAACCACACCCAACCTCTGTCCTAGGAGCTGCTGCGATGATCCCCCAATGGCATTTGATCTCGTCGATGAAAGCCTCTGCTGGGCGATCCCATTGAGGGCTGTTGTGACGCGCGAGAGAAGAGCAGCCTGTGCCATTCAACCCAACTCAAGCTCGCGATCGCTCCTGGCGCTCCAACAAAGTGGGAAGAAGTCACACGCCAATGTAGGTGGTGTTCTTCCCTGTGTCTAAAAGGATTTCCAGCCAGCGAGCGAGTGACTCTCCTTTAAGTAAAAGTACCACCACTCCCGCGTTGCGCTGGAGTGTTTGAGAATGGACGGCCCCAGATGCCTCGACGTGGAAGCTCACAGGGCGTTCGTTTTCTCGCGATAGGCCTGGCTTCCGAGCCTCCAAAACGTGCCACGTAGTTTCCAGTCCTGGAAGAGATATCTCTAGGCCCTTCCGGAGATTCACATTACTTAAATCTCCACTACTTATCTTTAGTTCAATCTCGCAAGGCTATATAAAATCATGACCGTCCAACTGGAGAGCAATCCAACGGCCAATAAACCGCGAGGGCTTTGAAAGCAAAGAAGCCCAAAACCATGGCTTCTTCGTCAGCGGCTCCGCTCTGTGGAGGAGCAGTGCTCGCCGCCGCTGCGCCTCGCAAATCCCCGGCATTGTCCTCCTGCGCAGCGATTCTCCGGCCCCCATGCCTCGCCAGCTCGTCAATCGCCGCGGAATCCAGCTTGTTTCGCAGGGTTTGCGGCCTGGGAGTCGCGAAATCGCCGTCCAGGAGGCTTCTTTCCACGAGCTGCAAGGTAAGATGCCCGCATTGCGAGGATTTTCCCAAAAAAATTGCGAGTGCCAATCTTGGGATGGATGGATTCCTGAGAAGATTCATAGTGTAGGGCTCTGAGCAAGGGATTACGTGCAGCTGAGCCAGGGCGATGTTCTCCCCTCGTTCAATCTCAAGGACCAGGAGGGGCGAGTGGTGAATTCATCCAAGTTTAAGAACAAGCCCGTGGTCTTGTACTTCTATCCGGCCGATGAGTCGCCAGGATGCACCAAAGAGGTAGAAAAAAAATTAAAATCCTTGCCTTGTCTAATCTCTGATCGATCAGGCTTGCGCGTTTCGGGATTCTTACGATAAATTCAGGAAGGCTGGAGCGGAAGTGATTGGCATCAGTGCCGATACTCCAGAGTCTCACAAGGTACATTGCTTGATTCCCAGCTTCTTTCGTCTTCCAAGGTCTTAGAGATCTTAGAATTTGGACTGCTGGATTGGTTTTGTGTGAGAGTTTTTACGAGCTTTTCGAAGTGGTCACTGTGTGCTCGAAAGTTTCAAGATTGGATTGTGGTATACTTGGTTTTGAGAGAGCAACTTTGCTCGAAGCTTTTAGCTTTTGTGCTCGATAGTTTGAGATCTACCAAATTGGATTGTGGTATACTTGGTTTTGTGTTTCCATACTTAGTGTTCACTCAAGTTTGTTGATAGTTTCTGGCCAGCCGATCGAAGCTTTTAGTTTTTGTGCTCAAAAGTTTCAGAGATCTTCCAGTTTTGCGAGTTCCGTTGAGTCATTTGCTAAGAATTTTGTTCCCTAGAGATTGGATTGTGTTTCCAATCTTGGTGAGAGTATTTATGAGTTCTCTGATAGTTTCTGCCCAGCCGATCGAAGTATTTAGCTTTAGTGCTCCAAAGTTTCAGAGTTCTAACGTTGGATCTTTCGCTATTCGTAGGCATTCGCGAAGAAATACCGGCTTCCATTCACGCTGCTCACCGACGAAGGAAACAAGCTAAGAAAGGACTGGGGAATCCCCGGCGACTTCTTTGGCTCGCTGCCGGGAAGGCAAACTTACGTGATCGACAAAAAGGGTGTTGTGCGGCTCGTCTTCAACAACCAGTTCCAGCCCGAGAAGCACGCCATGGAGACGCTCAAGGTTCTCGAAAGCATGTAAAGAAAAGCCGCCATTCTTTTCATCGCACCTTCCCTTCTATATAAATATGTAAAACCCGATGTTGCTGTGGACTTCTCCACGCAGAAAATCTCTTGGAATGAAAAATTCCAAGCTTTGCCTGCTATAATCTCTCGCAGTGGAATGCTTTAGTAAAAAAAACGAGAAACTCTGTACCGCAGCGCGCGAGCTCTTTGATTCCTTCCTCTCTCCTAGACGAAGAACATAGTGTTGGCGACGTTGCCCTGGAGCTCTGGCAAAACCGGGGCCGGCGGTGCTGACTCTCTGGTAGCGGCGGATGAAAGTGACCCCGTCTCGGAGCCGTCCAGCGACATAAAGTTCTTCATTTTCTTCGCGGCCAGATGCGCGTAGTTGATCGGCGCAACTGCGACAGAGGAAAAAGAGATCAGGAAATCTGGTTTGCAAACTGGGACAAACTACTTACCCACTGATACTGCTGTCGTGCTCTTGACGTAGCTGCGTGAGCAAAACACACGAGTAAGTTTCGAGGTTTTCAAATTGCTGACAAGGTACTTACGTGTAGCACAGATTGTTGATGGTCATTTGGATCTCGTCCGGCGTGAAACCAATCTCGTCGTAGAGCACGATGTAGTGTGTCGGCCTGCTTGTTCCCTGGAACAAACTTTTCCAGTTACTATAGAACAGTGAAACGGTTTGCTGTGCTTACGAGCATGCCGAAGTGACTGCACAGGAAGAAGTCGAAATTCGTAGGATGTGCGACGTCGCGGTCCACAACGGTCCCTGCAATTGCAGTTTTTCCGAGCGTCACAAAGAGAAACTTGTTTGTTGACGTACCAGGTTCGACATTCTTTTTCTGCTGCCCCACCGGCAAGAAACGCGTATGGTGCCTTTTCTGTGCTACAACCAGAGTTATCTTCGGCCTGATGCCGAGACCTTCGCAAGTCTGGAAAGAATGGGATGGAGCGGCGTTGCTAGGATAGGTAAATGACAGTACCTTGATGATGTCTTGCAGTTCCCCGGTGAGGACGCTCTCAAACTGGGATTCACTCACTCCATCTCTGATTTAAAGTCATACAAATAATTAGCACACGGTTTGGGATAAGAGACCGAACCTGAACACAATCAATTGCTGAGGGTAGCAACCCTTCTCGCCCTGGAAGTTCTTAAAGTTCTTCAGGAGGCTCCTGCGAAAGAAAGAGATTAGATTCGCAATGATCAGGAAAAAAGGAATTACTCACTCCAGCATCGATGGAATGTTGGCGAACGCTTCCTGTTTTGCCGATTGCGCCATCACGCGAGCGGAGTACCTCGTAATCCTTGGCCAGTCAAAAGAGCCAACCATCTGCTTACCGAAAAGAACGATAAGGACGCAGGTACAAATCCCGACACCAACTTACAGCCGCGACCGACGGGGTGTGGGAAAATGGAGATCCATGCGACACGTCCATTCCCAAGATCATGGTTTGAGCATATGAAAGCTTTGGCAATTCTTTCTTAAATTCACTAGTTAAAACCGTGTTGTAGCCCCCTAACTGAACAACAAAAAAGATGTTAATTTGCCAACGCGTAACAAAGAAACAGAGACACACCTTTGCATTCATCTTCAAAACGACGTTCGTCAGGTATTGATTGTTGGGATTCCTCTGGGGCGCTATGCACTGGTTCGGAATTCCTTCTTTCGTCAAAAAGAGTCGTTTGAATGGCGCTGCACAGCAAAAGCAAACACTAGTTTGAGTTACAAGATATGCTGTAAACAAAATAAATGTACCGTAGGCATCCGATTCCTTGCTCGGAAGAAGACAGAGAACGAACCCCGGACGACGACCGGGATTAGGATTATTCTTCCGCATCTTGGCAACCATCATATCCACCCTTTCCCAACCTGGATGCTCAGAGAAGCTTGGATCTTCTACCAACACTAGACCGGGATTCTCAACAGCCTGCACAAAAAAACCGTGCTTTAGCCTCGTGACCAGACCAAAGTCTTCATCTCACCATGCCCTTCTGCACGCAACATTCCTTCAACTGGTTAGCAATCCGAGAAACGTCTTGATGGCTGAAAGGATTCTTTCTGCGGTTAAAGCAAACAACAATCCACTCCTTGACAGGAAGGGCAGCTCGGGCGACGGTCTGTAGCAGGAAAATTACGATAATGCTCAGGCTCGACGTTGGCTTACATCGCGGTTGTAGTTCCACCTCCCAGCCTGGACTGGTACGTCCCGGTGTCCAAACTTGAGCTGCAGAAGCATACATCAGAACGATGATATCGCGAAATAAGTCGTAACCAATGGCGCCGGAAGAACACGTCCTTGAACTGACATCATTTTGCTGTCAACCTTGACGTTGAGGGACTGCAATTCCACGCTTGAATTTGACAGTAGTTGCGTAATGCCCTGTAACCACCAAAAGTGAGGTTTCGATTCCGCCGGTTGTTTTGAGTAAAACGAACCGAGTTGATCACATTAGCACGATCACTCGGCAGCAGTCGTGCTTGGTCAAGGTGCCTGCGAATCTGATTCCCGCTCAGTTTTCTTTTATACCGTTGTCCAGGCAGAATCGAACAGAACTGCAACCTCTCTTTTAAAAAAACTTATCGATGGACACCATGTTTACCTCCATCGGTACATAAACTGCTCGCGTGGCTTTCCCTACGTTGACACAGTGCAAATTGGGGAATTGCAAGGTTTCGTTGTATCTAGCTTGATAGTACTGAAGAACTGTCGTTGAATTCAGTCTAAACGTGCCATCGGCTCCTTTCTCTTTCAATTCAAACCTGTAAAGTCGAGCACTTCATAACGCCAATCAAGAAGCTAAGGACAGTGATTACCTTTGAGAGGATGCTGGTTCATCGCTAAAACCGAATATTTTGTGCCTCGTCTTAGTGTAAACTTGCACCACGATTCCCTTCAGCACTCTCTTCGCCTGCACAAATATCAAGAACTAGTTGACGAAAAGCGATGTCATCAGACATACCCGGGTCAAGTGATCGGCACGAATGCCTCCTGGAGATGTATCGAAATACTCCGCAAGAAATTCGTGCACCAACTGGGGCTTGATGACGATTGTTGTCGACGGATCTGCTTTGACAAGCATTAAGAAAATGTAAAAGAACTCTTTTGCAACTTACCCAAGTTCAGTGATAATCCCAGAGAACAAGGTCGGAAGCTAGCGTGGTAGCCACTCCAGCTTTCCACCCCTTCTCCAACATCTTTTACTGGACCAAGGGACTGATGAAAGTAGCTCTCACGCAGTAAAACGTACTCCCTGCCAAACAAGAGATGGTCTTTGACGAGAAGAAACGCTATTCATACCTTCTGGCGGCTTGTTCGCGAACAAGAACGTCAAGGACCCTCAATGCATCTTGCGCCCGAGACAAATGAAGATCTTCCTTCCTCATAAGGATGCCCAAGTCCACTTTGGTTGAGAACTTGATCCTCACCATGTAAGAGCTGGCATCCGCTCTTCTCTTTTTCGCGGGGCCCCCAGACGAGGAAGATGCTCCCATTGCTTTGTCGAGCGTGACTTCCATTTCCTTGTCGCCGAAAGAGAGATCGCCGAGCACGTACGCCGTATTCTCTCCGTCAAAAATGAGTTTTTTTCCAAGCTCGGCCCGGACCTTGTCCATTACTCGGCGGTTCGCCCCTTTCTCGACGAGAACCTTGTCGTTGGGATCATCAGCATATGATATCTTCACCTGCACAATGCTGGGTCAGCAGCCAGAGAGAGAGAGGAAAAGAAAGAACACTCACGTTGTATTGCGCTACATCCATTCCTCGAGAGAGCGTCACGGCAAAATGGTTACAGGTGAGGCGGACAGGCGTTCCCTGTTGGCCATAACCCGGCCTCCTCATCGGCTGAGCTCCTGTGGAAGACGAAGAAGAAGCGCTTGCTTTTGCGCTCGCCATCGAAGAGGATGGTTGCCTTAACCCTGAGGGCAAAAATTTATACTACCTAGGTACCGATTTTTATGATCAACGGAAAGAAGGCGTCAGAAGCTCGATAAATGCCGTCAGCAGTGAGATGTCCCATGTTTCCTTGTGCGATGCAACGAAACCATCATCGTTGAGGGTGTATGTGGTTGTTCCTAGAATGAACCAAAAAAAAAACAAAAAAAAACGCAGCAAATCCAAGAAAAAATCTAGGAAAGATTTCTTACCTTCGTAAGCTGCAATGTGGGGTTTCCAAGGAAGTTTGAGCGACCTGGATAGCGATCCAAGCAGTAAAGTATCCGGAAATGATTATAAGAAAGCTTTTAAAGCTTTTAAAGTTCTATACATACCCTTGGAGCCTCCATTTCGCCTCGATTGTGGTCGGGCTTGTCACGTGGATTTCCAAGAGCTCGTGCTTGGAGTCGCTCGGATCGAACAGCGATTTCACTGCCGCAACGTAGGAATCCACACCTTGGACATTCGTAGTTGGATCGATGAATCTAAAAAAGTTTTACTATGGATGATTGCGAGCAATGGCTAGAAAAGAAATTGCGAAGAAATTACCGGCAATCTTCGCTGTAGATGCTCCTGGTGAGATCACCAGTCACGTAATACTGCCTGTCCTCGATGTCTTGGCGGATAATTTGCTAAAGAATCATCAATCTCAGGGAAGATTTCCAGGAAATCCAAGCAAGAACACTGACCTCGATCTCGTCAACGGCGAAATGCCGCCGCCGATCTCCCTCGCTCGCAAGAAGAACCGGCGGGGCAAATCCAAGAAGCACGATCGGCGAGATTACAAGCTGGCGCCTCCCCGTGAGCATCATCCGCGGCCTCCGCCGCGAGGATTTCTCGCGCGGCAGCGGCGGAACGCAGCCATTCTTGCCGGCGCCATAGCCAAGCGCGACGAACAATGGCGCCATAACATTTAAAGAAAATCCCCACAGAGGAGAACACCTTTTATTCGACTCCTACTATACAAGAATATACCATAGGCGAAAAAATGGTTATCAATCGGTGGCGCTCAAATCCGATGAAGGCTTGCAGAGACACTCGTGAGGATTGGAGTAAAAGTAGTCCTCTTCTTTCGGCCTGTCTGGAAACACTCGTCGTCTCTTCGGCATTCCCATCCGGAACTTATGAGCTTGTTTGATGGCGATGGAGAATTCATCCCAGGAGATGGCACCATCTCTCAGCTGATCCACCAGGTCGATTATAACTTTGCGATCCAGCTGCACAGTCTTGCGGAATCCAAGATACCTGCAAAACGAGCCAACTCCTTGGCTGTGAATCCTCAGAGTTTCCAGAGAAAAAGAAGTTACCTCCGGTGTCCTTCGGCAACTTTGGCCATGTTTCCATCGTACGTAGGGACGAAAACATCGCTCTCCAGTGAGACGAGATAATCCAGCGCTGCCATTTGCGAGGAATGGTTGTAAAACGGCCTGAGCTCCGCCGGAGTCAATAGCATCTCCTTGCGAACCTGGAGCGCAAGTCACACACTGTGAGCAGAGAACCAATACTTTAACGAGGGACTCACAATGTTTGGAAAGGCTGCTTGTAAGGCCAGCATCCTCCGTTGGCTGCCGTAAATCTCCCCAGCAGCAATATAAAGTTGCGTGCTGTTGCTGTATCCCAGAGCTCGCAAAACCAATGCGGTCTCTTCCGGAGTCAGTGGACAAAGCCCGTCTTTTCGTTTTTGCTCCGAGTTTATGACCTTTTCTTTCCACCACGGAAATGCATACCTGTGAACCGGAATAATATGAGCGCCGTATGAACTTTCAAGATAAGAATGCATCACCTCATTGTAGTAAGTTCCTCCGCTTCAGAGTTCGTGCATCCGTGCGTGCAACCGGAAAATGCGAGCATATCCATCTCATATCTCAAGTGGAGAACCAGGAAAGGTCCCTTTGATCGTAGAATCTTGACGAGCTTTTGCCCGAGTGCCATGATTTTGGGTGTGAAACGAAGAGCGTGATAATTGACTCTGCATCTCAGCAATTGCATGTCCGAGGGAAGCCCATTGTTTGCTAGACGAGCATCAGTTCGGTTCAAGCGAATAACCTTTTGCTTACGAACTAAAGGAAGGATCTGCGCCAGGGACAAAAAAGTGATCAGTCAAGAAAACAAACGAAACAGGCAAGGAAATCGAGACCTGCTTATCGTAGTACGTCTCATTTGACCAGCTAATCGGCGCAAGCGTGAAAATGCTCTTATTCTCTACTAAACGATCGAATTTAGACGGAAGCTTTTTTACGATCTTGACTTGATCCCTCAGCGAGAAGATGAAATTGTCTACGTCAAAAATGTCATCAAAATTGCTGCAAGAGAGAGACAAGCAATTGCTTCATCAGCGCCAACTTGAACTAGAATTCTATAGCCACCTGGGATCGGCCCAAAACGACGTTTTGTCAAGCTCCGGAACCACCAAAGTCACGTTCAAGCGCCTGGCAATCGTGACCATGTCACAGATCTACATCAGCAAGAAGAACACGAATAAGCTCACAAGAGAACAAAAACGAGAGAAAAATTAAAACGCATAGAATCAATCTCCACCTACAGCAGCTCGCATTTGATTAAGTCCTCCATTGCAAGAAACCATCAGGTAGCCATTGTTTTTATATATTCCTGGAACCACAAAGAGCACAAGACTATAAGCAAGATCAAGAAAGAAAAAAGAAACAAAGAAGAGGAAACACTCACTCTGTGGCGGATAGATTGGAACAATGGGTGACACGCTCTCCTTCTGCTCGTTGCAAGACGATCGCCCCCCAAGCAATCGAGGACGCCATAGCTCGCCCAGAGCAGTGAGCTGGATGATACACGTCCACAGCAAGATGCTAGTGCTCGCTCGCAGTAGCCACACATTGATGCGTGATCTCGGTAGCATCGGAAACCTCAGCTTCCCCTTGTGATGATCAGCCGGCGGCCTCATCTGGCCAGATTCGGCGCTCCTCCTTCCATTCAGATCCCTGCATGTCACGGCAATCCCCTTGAGCATTGCCAAGACCCAATCCTCCTCCTCGCTATCAACGACGCCGACGACCTCTTCTTCCACTCAATCCGATCCAGCTGACGACGAATTCGCGGCCGGGAGAGCACTGTGGCGAAGAATCGGTCCACGAGACACATGAATCGCGCAGCTTAAATAAACTGCCCGGATCGATCAAGAAGAGCGCAATGCAGGAGCCGATACGCGGATCCCAGCCATCGCCGCGGCTGGAAAGAAGGCATCGGCTGTTCCAGATGGCCGCATTTCCCCTCCAACGCCAGGGAATCACCAAGAAGAACAGACCCTAGCCGAAAGCTTGGCGCTACCTCTGCCGCGTAAACCCTAGCAGCGCGATCCTTCCACCATACCCGCAGCACTACTTTTAAGTAAGATCTGGAGCTCCTTTGCCCTATTTTGGAGCTCGATTAGCTTAGCATCCAAGAAATCGCTCGTCTAGAGCTCGCTCTCCGTGCGATCGTCGCGATTCCGGCATCGCTATGGCCGACCTCGCAACCACAGACACAATGGATCATCGGATCACTCGCTCCTCGTTGTATCGATTTCCATTCAATTCAGACACGGGAATTTTGACGGGCAGCTCACGGGCCAGCACCACCCTTCACCTGACGGGCCCAAATCCAACGGCCTCAAACACCACCACTTGTCATAATCGCCCACTCCCCATGTCATAATCTCTTCCTTTTTTTGTTGAGATTCCCACGTCAGAATGACAAGTGGCAGGAAAAGGAGATATTCGTACCTTTTCGTACCAAATCTAATCCTATTGTCACTAAGCATTTGCGACAATAGTGTAATTAATCTATTGTCACAGCTATTGTCACTACGCATTTGCGACAAGAGTTCACGAGCTATTGTCACTAAGCATTTGCGACGATAGTTTATTGATTTTAGCTTGGGATCGGTAGCTCTCCACAGTCATATAGAGTGTGCTTTAGAAACCTGTCTGGCTGTAGAGCAACCTTGACACCAAATGAGTCGCGAGCGTAGATCACAGGCCAGAGCTCGAGCATCGAAAGAAATCCAATGAAGAACGACTTAACTGTGAGTGGGAAGAAGCGATACCATCGCTGCTTGGCGTAAGCATCCAGAGCACACTTGATGTTGGTGTCCATGTCCTCGGCGTTCATGCTTTTCCTCGCAAACACTGCGTTGTAGAGCTCTCGAGCGAGGATGACACCGTCTTCCAAGGCGAGGCAGCCGCCTTGGCCCAGGTTTGGAGTGATAGGATGGAGCGCGTCTCCTGCCAGAGTTACTCCGTCAGCAGCCAGCGAGGGACTTACGAGCGGGAGCGACCATCGGTGCCGGAGGGCGCTCCGAGTGACCGTGTGATTGGGAGAGTTTTCGATGAGGCTGGAGAACTCCTCGAGGTTTTTCTTGCACCAGCTCTTGAGGTGCTCGAGAGCTTCTTGTTTCAACACATCTGGCTCCACCTTTCGCACAACTGGAAGAATAAAATCTCAGAACTTATGAAACGGTGTCTCAAAACTACAACATACCTGCTGATGAAGACTTGAAACACACGAACCAGTAAACTTTGGTCGAAGAGATTGGAACGACGCCTGCTCGAGTTCCTCGTCCCAGAAACTGTAGCAGCATTGGACCGTAATCGTGTCCCGCTGGATAGTCGGCAACGCCGCGTATTGCACACTGTCCTACAAAACGTGGTTCCTTGACACCCAAGGACTTTGCAACTTCCGACCTGACGCCGTCACATCCTACAAGAACCTGGATCAATATGAATCCCACTGGAAAAAATTGGATGGAATCCAACGACACCTTACCTTACTGGCAATAATAGTTCCATCCTCGAGCTCGACTTCGTTGTAAGTTTTCTTGGTGCCTTTACGTACATTGACAACTTTGGACTTAAATCGAATGGTTCCGGCAGGCAACGGCTTTGCCAGTGCTTCTAGCAGCGCACCCCTTTCGATCGCTCGGACCTCGTTCAGCCTGGCAAGCCAGAAAAAATTTGAAAGTGATGAGACAACCTCTGCACAGATTCGCAAAGCCAGGCACGAGCAACACTTACAAGTCAGAAAAAACTCACCCGCCCCTCGAGCAATTCCCAAAGCTTAGATGGTGGATCACTTTGCCTTGAAGAGACACGACGTGGGAACTGCGACGAAAGAAAAAAGTAGCGAAAAAGTTTCTGTGAGCTGATAGCTAGAACAAGTTCCTCCAATGAAGAAGAAACCAAGATCATTACCCAGCAAGGAGATAGTATTGGTTACGCAATTCTTCGCCAACTCCGAGTACGTCAAGAGCTCGCCAAGCGTTCCTCCAAATCGTTAAAGCTGTTCCACCAGCTCTTAAATCGCTAGCTTTCTCGAGAACAAGAGTTTGCAGCCCAAGCCTGGCACAAAAGAGGAAAAGTATGAGAGGCATCGCATGGGGCGCTAGAAACAAAGACACACGACAGAAAGAATTTAAAGTACCTTTGGAAGGCCAAAGCCGCTGCCAATCCAGCAACCCCTGCGCCAACGATGACGATCATGTGTACCTCATTCACGGATTGCCCTGCGCCGCTGGCATCCTCCGCCGGTCGATCGGCGGCGGCGCCGCTAACTCTGACACGAATCGATCTCCGCGTGAAAGAAGATCTCGATCGAAATGACAGCGATGCGGCACCCGCGGAGGAGAAAGACGAAACCCTAGCGTCAGCGCCACCGCTACGGAGGAAAGGAGACGAAGGCGATGGAATCTGGGCGGCCATAGCCATCGCATTCGCCATAGCGCTCTCTCCCGCCACTGATTTTCGTTTTGCCACGTGGCAGTGCTCACGGGCGAGATTCCCCCAAGATGCCTATTTTTTAATTGTCTGTCCACGTGGCATCCGGGACACAAAGCGAAGGATGGATGATCTTTGTGTGCCGTAATTGTTAGGGTTTGCGAGAGATCTCTGCGCGTTCTCCCTGGATCTGTGCGCGATGGAGCGCCTCTGCGAGGAATTCCCTTGAGGAAACCACTGTGTGACGGACGAGCGCTGGAAAGAGCGATGGCGGCACCGTCTTCTTGGCTGGAATCCGCTTGGCAGGTATCTTCTTTTCCTTCCGGATTGCATGCCATTCCAATGTAGGCGCTTGGAGTTCGCGAAATCTGATGCGAGATCTCTCTTGTTCTTGCTCCAGTACTTAATCGACAACTATAGCGAACTCCAGCTTGTCACCATTGGGAGCTTTGTTCTTCACGAATTCGTCTTCTTCTCCTTTGGCCTGCCCTATCTCTTCATGGAGATTGCTGGCCTGCGAAAGTATAAGATCCAGGTTCGCTATTCCTCCTCTTGTGTTTACTCTCGAGAGTTTTTTTCTGTTTAAACATGCTTTAGAACTATAGAACTAGTTTTAACTAACTAACGTCATTTTCTAGAGCGTGGATTCATCTCTAGGAAGGATTCTTCATTGACAAAGATGTTTGTCTTGTAGAACAAAGTCAACACTTACGCCGCGCAAGTGAAATGCCTTGTGAGGCTGCTGTTCTATCACACTTGCGTGAATCTTCCGCTGATGGGAGCCTCGTATCCAATTTTCAAGTACATGGGCTTTACAAGCAAGCTGCCTTTGCCTTCATGGTAAGACCCGGTATGTGATAGCAAAGTTTCTCGTGTTTTTTTTTTACTTTTCTTCGCGTCAAAAAGAAATGAAACAAAAGGATTGACTTCCTGTTGCTGCAGGAAGACGGTCGTGTTCCAGATCCTCTCCTACTTCATCCTCGAGGACTTTATCTTCTACTGGGGCCACCGAGTTCTTCACACCAAGTGGCTGTACAAGCATGTCCACTGTGTTCATCACGAGTAAGTTTGCTCCTTCAGTTTTTGACTTACCATCTCTTTTCCTGTTCTTGATAGATATGCTACTCCATTCGGTCTCACGTCGGAGTACGCTCATCCTGCAGAGATCCTGTTCCTGGGCTTTGCAACGATTTTCGGACCAGCTATAACAGGCCCTCATCTCTTCACGCTCTGGCTCTGGATTAGCCTTCGCGTTTTGGAGACCATTGAAGCACACTGCGGCTATGATTTCCCCTGGAGCCCCTCCAAGTTTCTTCCTCTCTATGGCGGGTAAGATCACGCAGCTCCATTTTCCTTTCTTTGTGCGATCTTACTGTGCGCTCTCTCGCAGCGCGGAGTTTCACGACTACCACCACAGGCTTCTCTACACCAAGTCCGGAAACTACTCCTCGACATTTACTTACATGGATTGGTACGCGCTCTAAGATCTTCGTTTTCTTCTCTAGTGTGGTGTGGGTGTGACCTTCGATCTCTTTGGCAGGATTTTTGGCACGGATATTGGCTATCGAAAGCTCAAAGCGCTCAAAGAGATGGGCGACGAGATCCCTGAGCCAGTGGTGGCGATCGACGAGCATTTGACCAATGGAAAATGTGAGAACGATCAAAGCAAACAAAGCCTTCTTTGCGACTAGACTATGTAATCTCCTTTTATTAAAGTCTTCAGGAATTAGGGTTCTTTGGATTCTTAAGCCCTAGCGCGCGCGATACCAATCGATCGATCTAGATCTGCGGGAGCTGGATCATGGCCGACATCGAGAAGATCCCGCTCCACGCGTCGTCGCAGTCCGACATCGACGAGATCGAGAATCTCTTCCAGATAAGTGTCCAGCCCGCGGCGCCGGTAGATTCCAGCTCCAGGAGGCCGCCGAGCCCGCCGCGCGCCACAATTCCAGTCACGCCAGTGGCATCGGCAGCGAAATCCAAAGGAGCTCCTCCTCCTCCTCCTCCTCCGCCGCCTCCTCCGTCATATCCAGCGGCCAATCTCAATGCCTCCTCTTCCTCCGAGACCTCTCCAGCGATGATGACGGGATTTGGGGGCGGCCCCGGCTATGACACTCTCACGGAGCCAGTGTGGGAGACGCTCAAGCGCGATATCAACCAGGTGTTTGAGAACCTCAAGAATGTGGTGTTTCCAAATCCATACCGCAAGGACGCTGGCAAGGCGCTGAAGGATTGGGATCTCTGGGGGCCATTCTTCTTCATCATTTTCCTCGCAACCGTTCTCTCCTACTCGGCCTCCGCGGATCGGGTAAGATTTTCGCTGCTTCTTTCCTCTCGATCCAAAGGCTTGGTGCTCATGATCTTTTCTCTCGTGTTCCAGGCCAAAGTTTTCGCGACCGTCTTCGCGGTTCTCTCCGCCGGAGCGGTGGTTCTCACAGTGAACGTAGTCTTGCTGGTAAGTTCTCTCCATTGTTTTCGAGCTCCAGTGACCGAGTGATGGATCCCGCGATGGATTTGCAGGGTGGCAGCATCATCTTCTTCCAGAGCTTGAGCGTGCTGGGCTACTGCCTCTTCCCGCTGGCTGTTGGAGCGGCGATTTGCATGGTCCGAGACAACAAGCTGTTTAGAAGCGTGGTGGTGCTCGTCACGGTGGCGTGGAGCTCCTGGGCGGTGTATCCTTTCATGAGCTCCGCTGTGCCGGGTAGCCGGAAGGCGCTGGCCATCTATCCGGTGTTCCTCTTGTACGTGTCCTTGGGCTTTTTGGTCTTGGCCAATAACTGATGCGATAGAGAAAATTTTCCCACGCGTTCTAGGGCTACCACCTTTTATATTCTTTACTTTTAACCTTTTACCGGTTATCTTGAATGCTTCGTAATCCCGGTTTCTTGGAAACACACATTTTTTGAGCAAAAGATTGTGTGTAAACGAAAACACAGAGAAAAAGGAGAGAGATTACAGGCATCCTCCCTAAATGCTCTACTAAAACACTAGAAAATTGGCGTGCACAAATGTATTCCTAGGAATATTTTCACCCTTTATTCTATGGTGATTTATCACAAAGTGGAACTTAAATTTTTCATATACCACATGTTACATGCCACATGCAATATATTATGTGTCTAAGGTGGAACTCAAACCACTAAACAAGGATAAGCACACAAACAAGAGTTAGACTATGCCTTAAGTTAGTCAACCACACGGCAAGTTTAAGCATTCTTCCAGCCTGAAATGAAGCATGTATAGCTCTTTGTGTTCTTGTTGCCAAAACTCCACCTGGTGGCGCATGGCACGAATTCAGCTGATAGATTACAACGGGAAAGGCTAGAAGAAACAGTCTTATTTGAGTTTCTTGATTTCTTTCTTTTTCTTATCTAACTGTTTATGCGAGCAATCGATGAAGCTTGCCTTGTCTTGTTGCTTGGTAAAATTCTGATGAGATTTAACAAGATTTTAGCGGGATTGTAGATTCCAAGCGATGCGAAGTACTTAAAATTGCTTTTGGGGTTGCAAGGTTTTTCTTCGAGCACTCCATAGTACTGCAGTCACGTTTTGGCACCCGGAGAAGAACCAGCCGAGGAAAACAACAAAATTATCATCTGTAGATGAATCCCGTAACTTGTTAAATGCAAAGGATGGCTCAGCCTTAAATCGGTGGAATTCAAGAGCCTGTAGACAGCTTATTGTGTACTCCGAAAATTCACGGACAGCGAACAGTGTGGAAGTAAGAAAATCGAAGTACCTGATACAGGAATGGGGGGACAATCGAATGTGCTAGCTGTGACGATCTCTAGCCCATTGCTGGTGCGAGTCTATTCAAATAGCATGTTCTAGTTGTAAACAAGTTCTTGCATTAGAAAATACTTTAAAAAACAAGAGATCGTGTAAACACTGTATGACGCAGTCTTCAAATTACCCCTATATAAACCAGACCATTCCATTGGCAAAATCATTCTTCATACTTCAGCTCCTCATTACAGCATTCTTTCTAACATAGTCGAATGGAGTCTTCTCTCAAGCTCTTTTCTCTTCTTGCTATTCTTCTTGTGATCTTTCTTGGCTCCTCCAGCTGCGCCAAGAACGACAACTGCAATGGCTCTGGATTCTGTGGATCTCGCGTCAACCAGGCCGATTGCCGGCGAGCAATCTCTCGCTACACCGACGGAACAATCTACAATGGCTTCACTTCTCGTGTTTCTGGCCAATGCACCGCAATTTTCAGGTGCGATGGCAACTATCCATCCGTGAGTGGGGCAGTTCTCAAGCAGCAGTTTCTCCATGTGTATGACAACCAGCCTTGCCGACTCTGCGGAAGCCATGCATTCGACGGGGGCAATTGCGAGGCCACACTGAATTATTGTGCGAATTGCAGGGACTCTGGAAATCCCAACGCTGTGGAGAACTGAAGCTAGGCTTTGGACATGTTTCAAATAAAAGGATTGACAATAATTTGCTGTGCAAGTGTTTGCAGTGTTGTTAGTGTTTGCTTTTTATTCGCTGTAACCCCCCAAATGCTGAATGACAACTTCAAGCTCCACAATGAGCTTTGAACTTGATTGATAAACTTCTTTTGATTTGAAGCAGTGAGTATACTTTCTGTTTTGTGAGCGGAGACCGTCGCTGCACAGCCATTAAAGCGATGATCTTCACTGGGAGTCAAGTAAAACAGAAGTCAAAGTTTAATTGACTCGCTAGAACTTGAAAAAAGTGTTGTATGCATGGACTTGGAGCCACCTACGCCCGATCATTCCAGATAACGCTTGCATCCTCTGTATTACCGCGGCTGCTGGCACAGAGTGTCGATTGCGATATTTGATATGCACTGCATGGCTGTGAGAATTTGGTTGCTTGAATTGTCCAACTAGTTCCGGTGAGAAACGTAATGCAGCGTCTCACCATATTATAATTTAACTGCTGCAATTTGCCCAGCTTTTTGGCAAGACCACCTTGACTTGGTAGTCAGTCTTCACTAACTGAAACTTGTTACGTGTTGTACTTGGAAACTACCAGCATTACAAGTTTGACATGCTCCATACAGGCGCACCAATGAAGCTGAATCCATATTTGTTATAACATTTTTTTAGCAAAAAATTGTGCGCAAACGAAAACACAGAGAGAAAGGAGAGAGATTTGACGATTGGTTAGTCTCGGCCAAACACACTGTCGAGCGTTACCGGTATCCTCCCTAAACGCTCTACTAAACACTCACAAACGTATTCCTAGGAACACACACGACAAGTTCGAGCGTTCTTCCAGCCTGAAATGAAGCACGTATAGCTCTTTGTGTCCTTGTCACCAAAACTCCACCTGGTGGCGCATGGCACGAATTCAGCTGATAGATTACAACGGGAAAGGCTAGAAGAAACAATCTTATTTGAGTTTCTTGATTTCTTTCTTTTTCTTATCGGACTGTTTATGCGAGCGATCGATGAAGCTTGCCTTGTCTTGTTGCTTGGTAAAATTCTGATGAGATTTAACAAGATTTAAGCGGGATTGTAGATTCCAAGCGATGGGAAGTACTTAAAATTGCTTTTGGGGTTGCAAGGTTTTTCTTCGAGCACTCCATACTGCGGTCACGTTTGGCACCCGGGGAAGAACCGGGGAAGAACTTGTTAAATGCAAAGGATGGCTCAGCCTTAAATCGGTGGAATTCAAGAGCCTGTAGACAGCTTATTGTGTACTCCGAATTCACGGACAGCGAACACTGTGGAAGTAAGAAAATCGAAGTACCTGATACAGGAATGGGGGGACAATCGAATGTGCCATGCTGGTGCGAGTCTATTCAAATAGCATGTTCTAATTGTAAACAAATTCTTGCATTAGAAAATACTTTAAAAATTAGGAGATCGTGTAAACTCTGTATGACGCAGTCTTCAAATTACCCCTATATAAACCAGACCATTCCATTGGCAAAATCATTCTTCATACTTCAGCTCCTCATTACAGCATTCTTTCTAACATAGTCGAATGGAGTCTTCTCTCAAGCTCTTTTCTCTTCTTGCTATTCTTCTTGTGATCTTTCTTGGCTCCTCCAGCTGCGCCAAGAACGACAACTGCAATGGCTCTGGATTCTGTGGATCTCGCGTCAACCAGGCCGATTGCCGGCGAGCAATCTCTCGCTACACCGACGGAACAATCTACAATGGCTTCACTTCTCGTGTTTCTGGCCATTGCACCGCAATTTTCAGGTGCGATGGCAACTATCCATCCGTGAGTGGGGCAGTTCTCAAGCAGCAGTTTCTCCATGTGTACGACAACCAGCCTTGTCGACTCTGCGGAAGCCATGCATTCGATGGGGGCAATTGCGAGGCCACACTGAATTATTGTGCGAATTGCAGGGACTCTGGAAATCCCAACGCTGTGGAGAACTGAAGCTAGGCTTTGGACATCTTCCAAATAAAAGGATTGACAATAATTTGCTGTGCAAGTGTTTGCAGCATTGGTAGTTTTCGTTTTCATTTTCAGTTTATTCGCTGTAACCACCCCAAATGTTGAATGACAACTTCAAGGTCCACAATGAACTTTGAACTTGAATGTTAAACCTCCTTTTGATTTAAAGCAGTGAGTATACTTTCTGTTCTATGTGAGCAGAGACCCTAGAAGCTTTTTTTTGTGGAAAGTTCGTTCGCTGCAGAGCCATTAAAGCGATGATCTTCACTGGGAGAGAGAAAAGGTAATAGAGTGTCAAAGTTTATTTGACTTGCTAGAACTGGAAAAACGTGTTGATTATACATGGACTTTAAATAATATTGCGATATTCGATATGCACTGTATGGCTGTGAGAATTTTGTTGCTTGAAAAATCCAACTAGTTCCGGTGACAAACGTAATGCAGCGTCTCACCATATTACTGCAATTTGTCCAGCTTTTGGCAAGACCACCTTGACTTTGTAGTCAGTCTTCACTATCTGAAACTTGTTACGTGTTGTATTTGGACACTACCAGCATTACAAGACCAGCATTACAAGTTTAGCATTACAAGTTCAGCATTACAAGCACCAATCAAGCTGAATCCAAGGGTAGTGGATTTAAAGTATTATTGATTTATACTTATGTTAAAGGTCGTTGAGCACCCTCAAGTAAATTAAAAAGAATATTTTTAAATTTAGTTTTTCACTATACATTTCATGAATCGGCGACTTGCACGCCCAGATCAATCGGAGCAGCTCGAGCTGGAGCACATCTCTCGCAATTCTCATCATCCAAATGTATGCGCGGCTCGGGAGCTTATGCGAGGTAGCAGCTGCGTTCCAGCAGATCGAGAACCCCAACATTTACTCAACATCACGCTTGCAGCACTTACCCAAACCGGGCATTATGACAAGGCACTGCTGTTCTACGCTGTTTTAAAAAATGCCGCAGTGGAATCCCGTCACGTTGAGCAAGGTTTGATTGGATTGATTAAATGTGATGATCCAGGGGTGTCTCAACTGCGGCCATTTCGACCGCGCAAATCAGATGTTTCAGAAGATCCCAGCACGGGATGGAATAAGCTGAAACGGCGCCAAATTCAGCTGATAGAATTCAACGAGAAAAGCTAGAAGAAACGATCTCATACTCATCTTTGAGTTTCTTGCTTTCTTTCTTGTTCTATCGAACTGTCTTGTGCGATCGAATGAGAGCCTTTGATGTCTTGTCTTGTCCCTTGGCCGAAGTTTCAAGGCTCATGAAACTGATGAGATATAATAAACTTTTGTTTCCTGCACGCACACAAAACAAAGATTTTAAAGCCGAGATGACTCCAAGAGCCAGGAAATATGTGAATTTTTGGATTGCAAGGTTGCACTCCATACTGCGGCGGGGCTAACACC